AGGAGGCCGTGACACTGGACTCTACAGTACACCTACTGCTTTAGGCCACACGACCAAGACGGAGTCACAGCAGCTCTACCCAATACATAGAAACAAACACAGGGAGGCTGCCAAAACGAGGAGACAAAGAAACATGGCCCAAATGAAAAAACACATCAAAACTGCAATAAAAAAGAACTAAACAAAAGGGACAGAAGCAATCTACCAGATGCAGAGTTCCAAACACCGGTTATAAAGATGCCCAAGGAACTTAGTAGGGACCTCAGCAGCATCAAAAAGATCCAGGCAGAAACTAAGGATTTACTAATGGAAATAAAAAGCCATTTGCAGGGAAACAACAGTAGAGTGGATGAAGCTGAGAATCAAATAAATGATTTGGAACATAAGGAAGCAGAAAACAACCAATCGGAACAACAAGAAAAAAAAAAGAACTCCCCCCAAATGAGGGTAGTATAAGCAGCCTCTGGGACAACTTTAAGTGTTCCAACAATCGCATCAGAGGGGTGCGAAAAAGAGCAAGAAGTTGGAAATCTATTTGAAAAAATAATGGAAAAAAAAAGTCCCTAATTTGGTGAAGGAAATAGGTGTGTAAGTCCAGGAAGCACAGAGAGCCCCAATTATGATGGATGCAAAGAGACCCTCTCCAAGATACATCATAATTAAAATGCCAAAGATTAAAAAATAAGGAGAGAATCTTAACAGAAGCAAGAGAAAAGTACTTAGTCACTTACAGAGGAATTCCTATAAAACTATCAGCTAATTTCTTAAACTGTAGGCCAGAAGGGATTAGTGAGAAATATTCATAGTCATGAAAAGCAAAGACCTACAGCCAAGATTGCTCTACCCAGCAAAGTTATCATTTAGAATCAAAGGGCAGACAAAGAGCTTCCCAGACAACAAAAAAACTAAAGGAGTTCATCATCACCAAACCATTATTACATGAAATGTTAAAGGGACTTATTTAAGAAAAAGGAGATCAAAACTATGAATGATAAAATGGCAAAAAGTACGTCTCTATCAACAATTGAATCTAAAAAACAAACTAAGCAAACAAGAACATAGACAAAATCATGGATCCAGAGAGCATTTTGATGGTTGCCAGATGGGAGGGAGGTGGGGGGAGAACTGGTGAAGAGGTGAAGGGATTAAGAAGTACAAATAAGTAGTTACAGAACAGCCATGGGGATGTGAAGTACGGGGAATGGAGGAACCAAAGACCTTAAATGCACGATCCATGGACATGAACAATGGTGTGGGGATTGCCTGAGGGAGTAGGGGGTGCTGGATGTACGGGCGCAAATGGGAAAAAATCAGAACAACTGTAATAGCATAATCAATAAATTATAATTTAAGAAACAAACTGTGATGTAAAGAATCCAGTGATCTAGTGCTACAGTGGGTACCAGGAAGAGCCTGAGTGTTGACATGGGGCAGATTCAATTAGATCCCATCTGGAAGTAAAGTGAGCTGACGTGGGGTCAGCCTGGGAATTAGAGTAGATGGCAGTGGAAGTGAGGGGGCAGCCGAGTGGACACGTGGGCAAGAGTCAGGCAAAGGGAGCGTGAAGATGCTAAATCACCAAGGGAAACCTCACACGTGCCGTGTGCGGCAGGCCACAGCACTCTTCTCCCTTAGGTGGCCCTGCTCTGTAAAGACAGGAGTGGACAAGAGACTTGCTCTGGACGATGAAACGTGTGCAGAGGTGATACCTGCCTCTTAGGAGCAGCACCTTCCCGGCCAATACTCGGCCACCACTCTCTCTCTCTCTGGGTGACTCTGGAGTCACGCTGCTCCATCGGCCTGGTCCCAGCATAAAGGGCAGAGCCAGGCAGACTCTCCACACTACTCATGTAGTGCGAGTGACAACGCATCTTCGTTGTCATCCAAGACCAGAGTCTAGGGTCTTTTGTTTCTGCAGCTGAGCCTATGCTGATGGACACAGTGTGAGTATTTGTTCATATACACAGCACTGTTACACTATTTAATACCTATTATAGCACCAAAATCCACCAGTCAGAAGACATACCTACCAGCTGAAGGCCCCTGGTGCTGCCTCAAGGTATCTTTAGTTGTTAATCTTAAAAATGGGGTCCCAGGGAAGTAGCAAGGTAGCCAGGACAGAGAGAAGAGAGACCCAAGGGGCTCAGAGCAACAGCCATTTCCAGTCGGTACAGAGGTATTTCTGTCCCACTGTGCCCGCGTCTCCCAGCTGACGGCATATCGTTATCTTGTGACTTTTTGGCTTAGGGTTCTCACTTTAGAAATGTGTCGGCCACAGGTTTATTTTCTGTTGAAAGCATTCAGTTGCTGAGACTAGGGTGTTTTAGTATTACTAGATTCACTATAATATTGTTATTATTATTATTATTATTATTATTATTATTATTTTATTGACTTAGCATGGTTCCGTGGTGCATTGTGGTAACACACTCCCAGGCGCAGGGAAAGGATGGAAAACTGAAACGCCCACAGGGACAGATCTGGATGGCGGAGGACTGCATGTCAATAGACTGCCCTGGGGGACCCAGCCGTGGACGTTGATGTAGTTCTCCAGGTGACATGGCCAGGATTATCGGGCCCACACTTGCTACATAAAGGTATTGTCAACACCAATCCCTATTTGTAGAGTCTGTGGTTAGGAGACCGGACTCAAAGGGAGAAACCACGCTCTATCTTCCAATCTACAGCTAACTCCCTATTTGAAAAAACAAACCCAAGATTCACTCCACTGACTTACTACGCAGCGACTAAACATTATTCTGAAATATGGCTGAAGCCCAGAGATTTAAGAGCAGCCATGAGTCTGGTGGACAGCTGTTCTTGGGTGATTAGGGCTGCTGGGAATGGCAGCTAGTGGACCAAGTGCCCCCGTGACTTGAAATGCCTCACCCTAGCGTGCCCATTCATCTTGCAGAATACGTTCCCCTATTGCTGCATCTTTCCAAACACTAACATCACTGAGCCTAGAGAATAGGCTCTTCAACCTCCTGCTTACAGAAAAGTAGTTTAAAAAATTCTCCATAGAGACCGTACCTTAGTCAACTTTGTTGCCTTCGGTCCAGCACAGAGGCTGATGCAAAGTGAGTGATCAGTGTATGTGCGTGTGAAAAAAAAGTGAAGAAATAGTTAAGAAGATAAAGAGACCAGTTTACCCACTTCTGGGGTAGACATAGTATGCCGAATGCCATAAGCATTTCGTGGATGTTCTTTCATAGCTAAAAATGGAGTGATACCCAGTGCGTATAAGCTAAGTCGTGCAAATCTTTTAAAATTCACACTAACGTGTTTTCTGTTGATTTATGCACATGCGGGTGATTTTCAGCCACACTTTCCCCAGGCCTCTGCATTACCAGTGCACCATCCCAGAGTCACTCGGGACCTTCATTTGACTCAGAGTTCTTAAAAGGCTGTGGAGCAATTTTTAAAACACGTCCCAAACTTCACAGTCTTTCATTGCGGATGCTTACCTGTTCACTCTTGCTTTGCACATCATCCTGAGACACTTAGTTCCTCCAGGTTCACAGAAGAGAAGAAAATTAGAAGAGACTGGAAAGGTCCCTGCTTGGCTCAGGAGTGTGGTGGCCCTGAGGGCCCCCGGAGCAGGCAGGTGGGGTCAAGTGATGGAGAAGACCACCTCAAACAGATCTCAGGGGAAGGTGGGAATGTCAGGAAGACAAAACAAAGACATGTGAGAAACAGAATCACAGGTACACTGAGGCACAAGGCTGAAATGTGGGGACAGGAGAGTTGAAACCAGATAACAGGAAGAGAGCAAAACTTAAAATGTCAAGAAAGTTCAGAATCCGAGAAGGAGGAACCAGGTGTGGGAGAGCACTCGGTCCCAAAAAGCAGGCCCCCTCTCTCAGGCCAGATGTCCAGGGCACAGCAGCCTGTGTCCTTCAAGGACCTGCCCTCCTCTCTCCACACATTTCCCACAAGCAGGCAGGAGATTGTATCTTCCTCTGAGCCCCCATTCTCTGCAGCTGGGTATGAGGCAGAACTTACACTTGTGGGGAAAGCATGCTTTCATTCAGCAAATTTTCACTGGGCACCTACTATGTGCCAGGCACAACGGAGGGGTCAGGGGACACATCAGTGAATAAGTTAGATTCTTTAGAGCAGAAACAACAAGGGTTGCTGACGGATTGAATGTGGGCTCTGCAGCTTAATTCCACCAGGTCTCAGGGTCTTGTGGCCACCTCTTCCTGGGGGGATGGGAAGTGGGTTTTAGCAACTGTGCTTTGGAGAGGTAAGAAGTGACAGCTTGACTTCAAGGGCGTGGTAAAACAAACAAACAAAAAAAACAACGATGGGTCAGCAAAGTCAGAGATCTTAGCCTCAGAGTCGGTGCAGGCAGGCATCAGCCCTTCTAGGAGAACATCGCACCAGAGCGCGGTGCAGTGACTAATTTCCATGAAGACCCCTGTATACAAGTCAAGTGTACGTCTAAGTCATTCTGGGTAAGGCAGCCAGGAAGTGTGCAGCGTTTTACAAATTTTCCACTGCAAAATGTTTTTTTCAGTGATGCTTAAAACTAAAAAAAAAAAAACAAAAAACGATTTTTATGGAAAACTTGCCTCCCCAAAGGAAGTTTTCTAGCAGATCTGAAGTTTCCTAACCCTGGACCCCCCAGAGGGAATGAAACCAACATCTCACGCTGCCCATCAAGGTTCGAAATCACGTTACAATTTGTTACGAGGTGTCCAAGGCCGTCTGAATACTCGAGCGAATCCACACAGCCCAGTACAAACTGGAGGAAGGGGCCAGGAAAACTCTTCCCTCCCGAACTGGCCTGGTACATTTGTTTTGTTTCAGCTGCTGCGGTCCAGTCAGTTGCTAGTCAGCTCCCGCGCTCACCGCCAGGGGAGGATGAGAGGCGGAGATTAAGCCGAGTGTCCAACCGGAGCGCCCTTCTGGCAGAACAGGAGGGGCCCGGCCCCGGCGGCGCGAGGAGGCGGGGTCTAGAGGGGCGGGGTCCAGAGGGGTGGGGCCTAGGTGCGCCGGCGCAGTGCGCTCTGCTTGGGGAGGCGGAGGCGACGCTTCGGAGGAAAGATGGAAGACTTCCAGGCTGCGGAAGAGGTAACCGCCGGGTCGACGGCGGGAAGGGTAGCGGCCGGGAGCCCAGGCCCGGGTGGGCAGCGGCGCCCAAGGACGTGTGTGGGTACCTGGGCCGCGTCTGGATGTGAGCAGCGGCCGTCTACTGCGCGGGCTGAGGGCCGAGAGCTTCACGGTGACCCGACCCGGCCAGCTCGGGGTGTAGTCGACCTGCACGGGGGGCGGGGCGACGGAGGGGCCTCGGCGTGGCGCACGCCCAGTGCGCCCCACACCCTTCGCCCCGCCTCCGTCCCTGGTCCCACTCGCACCCTCGGGGCGCCGTGAGTGAAGTCACTCGTTTCTTAGTGATGCAGACCCCACTCTAGAGGTACAGGCACGCGTGAAACGCACGTACAGCCCCACCTCTCAAGTCCCCTCACAGTCTGCTGGGCCCCCTGCAAAATGAAGACATGTAGGTTGGAGCACCTGCCTTTGTCTTCCGTTCCGCACCTCGTGCTTCGGTGCAGGGCTCACCGCCACTGGGACCATCGCCGGCTGCTTCAGTCTGAGTTTGAGCCGGCGGTGAGCCAGCTTCTGTGTGTGTGGGGGGGGGGGGCGCATTTCATTGCCCTAAAGACTACGGGGTTGGGGTGGGGTAAAAGGTAGTACTGTTTGCCAAGCGGAAGACACCATGGTGACGGTGTGCTGCTGACATGGCTTTTCTTCAGGCTGAGAAGCTTCCAGGGACTGTATGTAGGGGGTGGAGGCTGCTGCTGCAGAACAGTGGCCCGTTTTCTTCCTGCTAAATGAGTCTGGTGTAAAGTCAAATCGAGTCTCATGTATTGTGCAGCTTGTCCAAAATACAAACTAGGTAAAGTTGGTAGTTCGATTTTTTCGAAGTTGAGTTTAAGCGGGTATGTTTTGAGGGGGGAAATTGTTAAGTCTTAAGGACTGATCCCGGAGCTTTTGTTGGGATCTAATTTCTGAGCCAGCGGGGTCAGGGGTCGTTGGGAGAGGCAGTGCAGGAGCAGCCAGCAAAGCAGAGCCTGTCTTTACCTGTGAACTGGTGGAGTGTTGGGCATGGCTGGTACTGTGGGAACACTGAGTAACACTTTAAAAAGGGGACTGGCAGGGCAGGGGAAGCCTGTCACGCTGGCAGGGCACACTCTGCGTTCTAACTCGGGGCCCTGCCCTGGTGGTGGCTGTGGCTTCACTGTTCCAGATTGCAGTGGATTGTCTGTGAAACGAAGGGACTGACCTGTGCGTCTCACGGGAGAAGGACGAGACCGACTCTGTCCTTTCTAGCAGGCGTGTGTGTGGTCTTTACTGACCGTGCCTCCCTCCTGCTGGTCTCTGCACCGAAGCCCTTTCTGGTGCTAGCCTCTGACTTCCTAACTCCTCTCCACCCTGTTCACCTTTCCTGCAGAAGCCGAAAGTGCCTGTGGGCTCTGTACACCTGCTCTGCTTCCCACTGGACAGTCACTGAAACGCCCCTTAGGCTCTTTTGTGTTTCAACCACATGAAAAGTTACACAGGGACTTTCCCCGGGTGGTTTAGGATCACTGAAGTCCCTTGGAAGGGCCCTCTAAACTTGGAGATGTAACTGAATCTCTAAGATACTGTGAATTTTCATTAACTGGCTGAGCTGGCTTTGTCTCCGAGTTTGACTTCTGCGTACAGCACATGAGAGGGTTTTAGGCGGTAGCTTCTGACCCTGCTGGAGAGGAAGAGGCACTGGGAGAACAGGGCCGCAGTGCTCAGCACTTGGCAGGGTGAAAACTCAGGGCCAGAAAGCAGCAGGGCTTCCCGCCTTCACTCCTCCAGGAGGGCAAACTGACCACCAGCCTGGGGCCGCTCTCGGGGGGGCGTGGCTGGACCCAGTACTGTTCTCGGTTCTGGGGCTCAGACAGAACCTGTGCCCACTCACAGGCACCACATGTGGAAAGAAAGAAGGCACCATTTATAAGCTCCTGGCACTAGATTACCACCAGCAGCCCACCTCCCCCACCCCGACCTATCTATGTAGCCGGCAGGGCTAGCAGCTGGGTGTGTGGGCCCACAGTAGGACAGCACAGAGAAAGGAGAACCCCAAACATCATTCTTAAGTTTACACAGGAAAGGGTCAGTTAATTTATACAAAAGTCAAATAACTCATTAAACTTTGATATTTGTCAGTGATCCTGGTGGCCAGTTAATAGATGGAGAGATGAAATTCTAGTTTAAAGTCAGCTTTTTGGATCATAGCATGATTACAACAAAAACACCTTTAAATCATACAAGAATTGTAGTCTCCTGATGCCACACCCAGCTATGTGACCCTCAGAGAGAGCCACATGGTGTTTCTCTTTGTAATGATTTCTTCAGTAGAAGGAACGGTCTGGTTACATTATTTCTAAGGTCTTCATTTTTAAAGTATGGTCATCACCTAAATTTGCATTTATCAGTGCTCCGGTGGATATGAATCTTAATCAAACTTCGCTCATTTGCTTCCTTACAGACTACTTTTGTTGTCGACGAAGTGAGCAACATTGTAAAAGAGGTAAGAGGAGAAATGGCTGCTTTTAACATATTTGATTAATGGCTTATGCGAGTGAAAATAATGTGTTTTAAATACTGTCTTGGAATTGTTTCAACTGAGCCTGTGTTTTGGCATTTCAAATAACAGTGTTTACTTCGGCGTGTATCTAAATAAGAATTACTCCCATATTATGTAAATTATATATTTTAAATCAGACAGGAAATTTTATACACTAGCGTTATTATTGAACGTTACAAGACTTGAGTCTGTAACCTTTTAAGATAAAAGGCCCATGGTAGACAAGTAGATGTTCCCAGTGTTTTAGAGAGAGAGTTGAACAACTCACTTATGACCCGGTGGTTCTTTTTCTTACATTTCTAAACTGCCTACTTTCCCATTCTGACCACGGGTAGGGTCAGTATCCCTTCGATAGTGAGAAGGGGAGGCAAAAAAAGGATATTTGCCCTTCACTTAGTACAGAGAGAAAATACAGGCTGAGCTGGAGTGCAAGAAAGGATCCTCCAGGAGTTTCCAGTTGGGGGGGGGGGGGCAAGGCAGGCGCATGTCAAGTAGCCCCACCCAGTGAAGTCAGGCCTGCACCCCAGAGTGGGAAGGAGCAGTATTAACTCAGCCAGGAGGGCGGCGTTCCAGGGCACACGCAGCCTGTGCAGAGGCCTGTGGCAGTATGTGCGGGGTGTTGGAGGGACCATAAGGGGAGCCGGGAGGGGACTGGAGGGTGGCCAAGAGCTGGGCGGCCTGAGGCAGGAGTGAGGCCAGAAAGGTTTTCCCTTTGCTGTGCAAGTTGAGCAGAGAGTGAAGCCAACTAGCTACAAGGTCATCGGATGATCCAAGTTGAACGGCCATCTGAGGTCATGGGTGTGCTTCGAATGGATCCTAATGCAAATTGCTGGCTTCTGCCAGAGTGATAAAGCACCACAACCTGTTTTTGTGAACATCATCAAAAAACAAAATGATTTTGTTCTACCACTTACATTTTTCAGCAGCGGACAGTATTAATTGCCTTTCATCTTTTTTTCCATAGTGTTTCTTCTGGAAGGGGTGGGGGAGCTGGAAGTGGGTGGGGTTGCACTAGACGTGTGCGAAGTGGCATTGGTCACGGCACATCCTTTGGCCTCACTTGTTTTCTGTGTTGGTTTGACTTGGTCACCAGGCAGCAGGACAGCTGAAGGCAGACCTCCCCAGTCTTCCTGGAAGCACCAGTTAATGTCATGGTGTTACCTTCCCGTGACTGTGGGCCTCCCCGGCTTCCTCTAGTGATAGGTTAACTGTGAACTCGAGCTAGTTGAAGTGCTGGCTAGCAGTAAGTTTGGGTGGGCCCAGAGTCGCAGGCAGGTTTGTCTCCTTCCCTGAAAAACATGAATCCCTAAGTGTGTGTGGAGGGTCCCCAGAGTTAGAGCTTTAGCTTGAGCAAAGGCCCCTGGACAGTACCCCAATCTAGTAGTAACCTGTCCCCTTTAAACCAGGGGCTCCCATGCCCCCAGGCCCACTGTATGCTCTGAGTTGGGGAGGGGAGAGGGGTTGGTGGAGAACTGGAGGAGCTGATGAGTGGGCGGTGGTGGCGAGAGGGAGCCGGGTGCCCACTGGCCTGTGTTCATGTGACTACTGGGGAGTCCCAGGATAAACAGAATTTCCATAGGTAGAAATCAAGGTGTGGCTGTAGGTAGCTGTTTGTTCCTCAAAGCAAGGTCACTGGGCTTATGCCTCAGGTAGTAGCCCTTGTCACCAAGAGGCACAACTCAGGTCCTGGCACTGTTTTTCTCTGTGGGCCTCAGGGCAGAGCTCGGTGATCACTTATTTTAGGACATAACTTGTCATGAAAACTCGGCTTTCTGGTTTCCAGCCCGGAAGTTAGAACAAGGGTAGAGGGGAAAGCTGTCAGAAGCGGGCACAGAAGGCTCAGAAAACGGTCAGATGCGAATGTCCTGACCCTGAGCTCGAGCAGGAGGAGCAGCAGGCGCCGGGCATTTGCCGCATGACCCTTGACCCTTGACATGTGTGCACAGTGTGAACCCGTCCTCCGAGTGCGGCACTGCAGGAGGTCGGGAAATCCGCAAAAAAGAAGAAATGCGTCAGGAACTTACATTTTGGGATATATAAGCCCACTCTTTAGTTACGTGGAAAAAATATACTTATGTAGTAATATATTCCCAAAAAATGCTGGATAGAGGAAGAATTTATAAACACACGATTATTTGGAGAGGTTTGTACGTTTTTAATTGTACAGAAAACTGATACAGATTCCCCTATCTTTAAGATACTGTTAAGAAAGGAACAGGCAACAGAAAATATTTTCCAGTGTCATAGGAAAAGTGTTGCTGTTCTCTGGGTACCAATAGCCACAATAAACACTAAATTCTGCCAAAATGTTTCAAAATGTTGGCGGACCCTATCTAATTATGAATTCTTAAAAACAAATAAAACTATTTAAATATGATACTGTTAAACAAAAGGTATACAGTGGTACCTCGGTACTCATCATAGGCGTTCACTCGTTCCGGAACTGACAAGTACTGAATGATGAGACATCTCTTGCGGGCACTGCGTTGTGACTCATACAAGTTCTAGCAAGTGTGATGAGTCCTGAGAAGGGCTGAGACTTTTTTTTCTCGTCAAAATGCGACAAGTGCAGGGTTTGACAGTACCAAAGTATGGCTGTATTTGCAAAGGAGTCCTTATGGATACAAATAAGCTTACACTTTTTGTAGACTGTATTTCAGTAGTTCTTAGGGTGATGGACCTCAGGAGTAACTGCAAGGTGTCGGGGCATGTTCTGCTAAAAAAAAGTGACTCCTCTGTACTTTGTCCTCTAGGCTATAGAAAGTGCCATCGGCGGCAATGCCTATCAGCACAGCAAAGTGAACCAGTGGACCACAAATGTGGTAGAACAGACTTTAAGCCATCTCACCAAGCTGGGGAAACCATTTAAATACATTGGTAATAGGTTTTTGTTTTTCGTATATATTTGTGCTGGTTTTTGAAATACCAATCAGAAGTGGGTCTGGTGTCAGGAGAGTGACTGTGTCGCTGTGGTGACCAGCCTCGAAGTTCCCTGTAGAAGTGTCACTTCTGTTGTCCACACAGTTTTACCCTAGAGCATACCTGCCATAAACCGGCCGGCCTGCCTGCTGGAGCCACTGCAGGGCACACAGCACAGGGTGTCATAGGGTTTCTGCTCAGCCGCTCTCAGAACAAGCGTGCAGTGAAGGGCCGGCACCTGTGCGATCAGTCAGTGTTCGTAGGGCCAGGCGACCTCCCCTTACAGTTTCACCAAAGCATCATCCATGTGACCGACATATGCTGAAAGTGGGCAAAATGCAACCTGTGTTGCCAAACAATTTTCTCTAATAAACATTGTTTTCATTGAAGTGACCTGTGTAATTATGCAGAAGAATGGAGCAGGATTACACACGGCAAGTTCTTGCTTCTGGGACAGCTCTACCGACGGTACGTCCCGCTCCCTGGGTCTAACCGACCTGGCTTACCCAAAGTGGTGTTTAAGGGCTGTGTGCTTGGGTGTTTCGTGTCTGTGAATGCGTGGTAATGCATTTTTTTTATCAGAGTCATCTTTTAAAACATTTTGTAGAAAAGAAACTTGCCAACCTTCTTTATTTATGTACCACAAAGAGGTAACTCCTTGGGTGTTTGGGCCCTGCTGGGAGAAATCGGTGTCCGGTGGCCCCATCTTGCTGACCTTGGTGCCCTCTGCTCTGCAGGGAGCTGCACCGTGCGATGGGAGAACAAGACCATGTACTGCATCGTCAGCGCCTTCGGACTGTCCATCTGACCTTGTCCGCCCGGCTCTTCCTCCTCCCGTCCCAGCGTTTCTCTTCCGTCTCCCTTCCCCACCCACCGGGAGTCCAGGGCACACCTCTCCTGTCCTCTCCGTGTTTCCTGTGGCGCTCCCACAGTGCAGAGAAGAGACCGAATGACCGCACCACTCCACGACCAGCACACCCCCGGTCAGAGGGCTCGCTCACCTCGGGCAGGCGAAGGCCGGACCGCGCCTGTGCCATCTCTGAACCTGTGCCAGCTCAAAGGTGCTACCGCTCCAGTCCGCGAGCCTGAAACTTTCTCTGCTCTCTGAAGTGATCCAAACACACTAATTCTCCATACTTTGTACTTTTGTTAGAATAAATTAATCCAATTTAAACTTTGAATTTGTCTTCATAATCTAGCATCACAGTTGAATTCTTCATATTTAGTTAGTGGCTTGAGCATCTATAAAATTGTTAAAAATGAAAACAAAAGCGATTTGGCTCTGGTTGTCTCCGGTACAAGGGTTTGCTAGCATCACCCGCGGGACCAGGACCCTAACAGCCTCACCATGTTCTGGTCAGAGTCTGTCTCCTCTGGGGCCTCGCACCGTTCATCCTAAAGTTCCCCCCTTTTACAGCCTCGGGTGGGAGCGGGCAAGCTGACTCCTATTCCGCCAGCCAGAGAGCTCTGATGCCCACACTTGGCCCGATCTGCAGCTCGTGCTCTGGCTTTTGGTCACCCTCACACAACATGGTGCTGTACCCCAGGGCTTGCAGATGCCTTCACAGTCGTTCATTCTGCGTCTGCAGCAATTAACACCACTGTTTATAGGAAATGTGTCAGAGGTTATCTGATTGATTTACAGTCACATCCAAGTAAGTGGGGAGGTGGGCCGCACATCCGGGTCTTGGGACCTCCTCTCTGTGCTCATCCCCGGGCCATGTTACTGTGGAACAAAGACACTCGGTGTCCACCTGCCCTTGTCCCTAAAGCACTCATGTCTGGTCAGATCAACTCCATGTGCAGAGAGCAACCAATACACATAAAAAAGGATCCCACATTAAAAAGTGATTAACATTTACCAGAAAGGTAGTCTCAGAATGAAGCCACTCCCAAAGATTGCCATAAATAAACATTTATTCACTTGTGAATTATAATGCTCGTTCTGTGACTGGGTTTGCTGTGTTCACTGACACAGCTCTAAGATCTAGTACATAGCTCTGTCCTTTCGAGATTAAACTTTGTTCTACTTTACAAATATTTACAGTCTTTTTGTAAGAAGGCAGTTTTCAGTAGCAGAAAGTCCTGTGGTTCATAGAATGATACGACAGTTACCAGTGTATCTACAACACGGGAAATCAGGATGAACAGGATAACGAGACTGAATCGGCTTCCCTTTAGCCCGGGGAGGAGATTTTTTTTTTTCAAAGTCTAACCTCTAAGGCAACTGGTTTCTAAAATCCTCAAAATTTAGGTCTAGCCTTCACTAGATGTCCCTTTTAATCATCACTCACTTCTATGAAAGTCTCTGTTTTCCTGTGAAAAGGATTCCAGTAAGTTACCACATTACAGCCTATGTAATGTAACTCTGCCTTTAGTTGATGAAATACTTGAGGCTGGTGACGTTTGTCTTACAGTCTGCCCTCTGGCGGCTGGGTGTGCATGACGCATCTGAACTTTCTGCAGCCTGTGATGATGGACAGGAGCAATCTCACAAATCCTGAGTGTACTTTATACATCCCTGTTTCTAGCCTTTCAGATGGGGCTCTAGGGAGAGAAAACCGCGTCACTTCGCTGCTGTAATGACTTAGTAATAAATCACGAAGAACCATTATCCATGTGGACAATGGCACTCTCCCTGGGGAACTGAAGTACCTGTGGTCACCGTCCAGGTCCCCTGGACTAGACCAAGTGTCAAAAATGATCCCGAACATGACGCCATTCAAGCTGGTGCCATGGAAGAACTAAAGTTAGCCCTTTGAATGTAGAATTAAAGTTTGCAAAACTGTGATGCTGTCCAAAAAGAAAAATTTTTTTGCTACTGTCAAAGATGATGGTGATTTTAGTGTTTTAACCTGACACCTAGGGTACATAAAGTACATGCTAAATACACTTCAAACAAATTTCACGTGGAGTAGGCAGTACATTGATGTGTATGATACAACAGTAAGAAAAATTGAAAATGCATAACTTAATAATTTTCCCCTTAAGTATTTTTTTAATTTTTTTCCAACTTAGTTACAAAAAGAAATATGCCCATATTGTTCATTTCCATGACTTGATGCCATGAGGAATCAATATATGAAGATAGCAGTCATCAGTTTAAAATCACGCTATAGGCCAAAGTCAAGTTCTAAAAAGTTCTAAGCTGTGTGACTAGATGCCTCAAATATTTTACATTTACTGATAAATAACAGCATTCCAAATTATAGACAATATTTTTATAATGATTAAAATGTAAACTATATCACATACTAGAATACATTAATCAGTACAAGTTTTTGTATAGTTGGTCATAATAGAAGTTGTAAAATTTGGTAACAAAATTTTTCAATATCTGAGTATGCAGAATCAAAAAATAATTACCATTGCAAATGTAAAAAACCATGTAAACTTAAATTACCCTTGCAATAATGCAGTTGTTTTAATCCAAACATCCATATTTACAGGGTTTTAAAAACATGTAAGTGGAACCCACATTTACCATCAGTGTTTGAAAAGGAAGTGCGGAGTCTGCATGAGCAGGCCCGTGAAGCGCTCTGTGAGGTCCCAGCGCCCCCTAGAGTAGAATCGAGCTTTAGCCGGGAGTGGCAACCCCCAAGAGTGAGTACACAGGTGGAGGAACTGCAGGTGGTGTCTGTAGGGGGGACAGGATCCTCTGAGACCAGGAGGACATCCAGCAGGGTGTCTGCAGGGTGTCTGCCATGGTCACATGCTAACAGTTCAGAACAGGCATGAGCGGGCCAATCGGCAAAAGCAAACGTGGCATCTCCACCAGAGAAGTGGGCCGTCCCCGAGGCCTGCCGCTGCCGCAGACTCCGCGGCGCCACTCAACGTCTCCGACCCGCAGGGCGAGGCCCCGGCCTGCCCGACAAGCCACCTTTACCAAAAGGTGTGCTTCCATCAACCATCTCAAAGGCTTTACTCTCTCACCTAGTTTCCCAACAAGAAACAAAAACTTTTTGGCAGTAAAGAGTCCATACTACATCAGTAATTTGTTTTATTTTTAAAAAGTGATAAAGCTCTACTGGCTGTCACTCTCAGCAGAGCCACCAAAGTGCCTGCTTACCGGAATTCAGTGGGTACGCTGTCCTTCAGCCCAGCCACAGGGGCGTCCATGCACACCCATGCATGTGATGCTCACGCACACACATGCACACACATGAACACAACCCTCAGAAAACTATGGCAGCAAGACCTTCCCCACTGGAGCTGCAAGCTGTCGGCAACCTCACCCCTTCCTCAGAAACCATACCATGCCCTCCTCGGAACTCCGCAGCACGAGCTCGGCTGCTCGGGTGGGGAAGGGCCAGGGCCTGCTCTCCGCCGTTGCCCTCACCAGCCATTCCGTCTGTGTTTCACGTCACAGGAGTTGCCGGTCGCCCACGATGCCTGGCGGCCCGGAGCGCAGGCCACACAGCGGGGAGGGCTCGCCCTCAGGAGGGAGCCGCACAGACCGGCTTCCCTGGGGGTTCATAGGGGCAAAACCAGAGCCACGGGGCAGGGGAGGAAAGGAATGCTACAGGGCTGTGGGCCTTATTCAGAAGGACTTTCCATGGACTGGGAGTCAGTAAATTGTTTTTTAATAAATACGTAATTCTCCGTACTAAAAACAAGAGCAACTGCCTCCCTACCACTGAAAACAAGCTATCTCTCATCTGAAATCTTTGAAAAAGAACTTGGCCGTTTATCAGCACCTCTCTTCCAAAATAAACAAAACCACTCTAACAGTGAATCTGGCCCAGCGTTGAAGTCTGTCCTCCGTCTTGGTTTCCCTTTCAAAGTTATGTAAACAAACAAGGACCAGGAAATCTCTGCCTGTAAGACAAGTGTGAAAGCAGGCAGGTCCGGAGGGCCAGGGCGGCCACTGCAGGGCAGGCCCCTGAAGACCCGCCGCCCGCCGGGAGCTCAGTCACTGTCAGACCCCTCCTTGTACTGGGCCCGGAGGGCCTGGCCGTTCTGCAGGGGCATTTCTTCATAGTCGCTCCTGTTGCGAGAGAGACTTTTGACAGGGGTCCGCTCGCGACAGCTTCTGACTCTCCCCCACACGGGCACGCCATTCCGACAAGGACACACGTCCCTCCCTCTGCCGCCAGCTGGCAGAGCCCACGCCTCACCCCCACCCGTCGCCCAGGAAGAACTGGCCTTCCTGGGCCACCGCTCCCTGCGGGCGTTTGCAAAGGGAACGCCATCCCTCCGAAGGGCGTGGAAATAAACCACAGACTCCCGTGCCAGTTAAAAAATGTCCTAATGTTGTGAAAACTGTTTCAGATGCTGAGCCTCCCGGTCAGTAAACGTGCAACGCCAGGCCGAGTGTGCAGCCTTTGTGGGACAAGGACTTACCCATAGATGACGTCGTCATCGGAGTCATTGAGCATGGAGAAGGCGGGGTTGTCCTTCAGCTGGGACTCTGAAAGCCAACGAGAGCGGTTCCTATGTTATTACCTGGAGGGGGCGCTGTCCTAGAAGGACAGGGCTCAGAAAGAGCTGGATTCGAATCCCAGCGTCCACGAGGCACTAGCTGTGTGACCGGAGCAAACCATTCTGGGCCCTGAGCGTGTTCTCTCCCCTACCCGACAGGGCAGCATCACGCTTGGAACCGGGGGAGCCCACAAGCAGAGTGGAGCTGCCCTGTCCTTTCCCTGAGTGCACGTGGGCATGGGGACAGTGGCTGGGGGGCAGCGGCTGGGGGGTGGCGGCAGGGGGGGGGGCCTGTGTCTGCCTGCCCCGCCCTGCCCTTCCTCCAGCCTGCAGCTTGCCACTGAGTGTCAGTTTCTTCCTCCCTAAATGGGAGCGTCAGGAACTTTTCTCGAGGGTGCTTCGAGAACACCCAGGATGTGGGAGTGGTCCTGACTTGGAGAGACCCCGCCAGGGTTCCAGAAAGAACTCATCCTGTTCACTCCCTGCGCGCCTGGGCTGTTTGGCTGTTTTTGGTCGTGCTTTCTGGGGAGCAGGACTGCACCCTCTGACCTTCTGTGCAGTCACGGCGCCAGTATTCAACAGGCTGTGTTCTGTGAGCCTCACAGACACACTTGTGCTGGGCCCCGCTCACCCAGTGTGTCCATCTTGTGCTGTAGTGACACAGCCAGGGCTGTGTGGTGACCGCGACTCGGAGCTCACCATTAAGGCAACCCTGTTCCTCTCTGCCAGACAGGAGGAAGGCAGCGTGAGTCAGGCCCTGGCACCGACAGGAAACCCGGGAGGCGTGCCCTGAACTTCCCAGCCGTGGGGCCCCAGGCGACTTACCATACAGAGCGGTCTTTGATGGTGAGTACACAAAGGCCAACGTGTAGAGGTAAAAGTTCAGCAAGCCATAGAAAGACAGGAATTCAGCTGGTGATGCTGTCAAGGCAAGCAAGCGGGCGCAGAACACCCTGAGTTTGGACATTGGTCGCGTCTGCTTTCAGTCTGCCCACTCGCGACCGCCTGTCACTCCTTCTGCCGCTGACCCCCAGTACCTCGGGGCCTGTAGCCCAGACCTGCGGCTGCTGGAGGGCGAGCCCACAGCCAAGCGTTATGATGGCCTCCCAAGGTTACCTGCAAGTAACAGGTAACCGTGCCCTCTGCCATCTGTGGGAGCCTCTCGAGGTGGCAGGACCCAATGTGACCCTGTGAAGGGCGGGGCCACACACACGTGTGAACCCAGGACAAAGAGCGGGACGCAGACCCCCTGGCCAGTAGTCCTCAACCTTTTCTGGATTACAGACCCTTTGAGAGTCTGATAAAAATGTAGTGTGAATTCAGCCATAAATTAGAAAAACCAGGTGTAATTCTAAGTATGCTAGAGGCCCCAAGGACAGAACCCAAGCCAAGGATTAACCCCTGAGCATCCCTTGGTCGCCCTCACGGCCAGGGCAACTGGAAGACACACCCTTGACCTCTCAGGAACCCGACAGAGCCCACTGTGGAGGCTGTGCCCAAGGCACCCAGGCAGGGAAGCACAGAGGCCCTGCGGTCATTAAGAGCCCCTCCTGGAGACAGGCCTCAAGTGCCCTAGTCACCACACCCTGTGGCGCTGCCGCTGGACACTGCAGGCTGACAGTACAAGAGGCCGACAGTGGCCACAGACACTGGGTCCCTGCGCGTGAACTGTAACCACCTCAGGGGCTGGCCTCCCCCTACAAGCCTGAGCTGCTGCCTACGGAGGACCAGTGGGTCCCGGGGCTGTGGGGGCGTAGGAGGGCACGTGTCTCTGCAGACAGGTGGGGGTCCCCCGGGGGCTCCATGGTGCGGGCCACGAGGAAGGGACCTGCCTCTTCTGGATGCCAAGAGACCCAACACGCTACCCACTATGTCCAGAATGCATCCCTGACGCCTGCGGCCTTCCCGTGAAAAGGATATAATTCTGGTAGTGAGTTGACAATTCAGCTACAAAATTGTCTTGCAATGCTTGTGCTCCAAACCTTAAATAGAGGATGACGATGCTGGAAAAAAGGAGGGAAATACCTTAGTAAGGCGTACGAAGAAACAGCACTAGCACCGTGCACGCTGTTGTGTTCACCCTGCAAGCAGCCAGTCTCGTTACCATGGCTTCTGCACGGAAACGCGCCCGCACCCACGCGCACCCACCTCTGCTGCGGGACGCCTGGCCTCGGACCCAGGGGCCTGCTGCTGGGATGCGCTCAGCCAGCCCTGATGTCAGCCAGGCCACAGTCTCCAATCGTGGCCCTGACGCTTGCACTCGGCACACCCCCCTTCTCTCACTCCCTTAGTGCAAGTTTCAAGAGCGTCCCCTACAACTACCAGCTCCCCCGCAGAGTCTGCTTCTCCAAAATCACTGGTCCCCACTCAGCACAGTGGCTCCCAGGCCCCTGCTCAGACACCTGCTGCTGACACACGGTGACGGGGGAGACCATAAGGTGGGCTCCCCAGCCAGGCCAGGCCGTGTGCCACCCTAATCCTCCTGTCTGGGCCCCGCTTTCAGGTCCGCTCCCCGAGGCCCACGCTTCACCTGCAGCTGGGCGTCTGTGAACACACACGTAAACGAGACCCCTTCTCCTGTGGCCTAGACCCTCCGTGGCGGTCCGGTCCAGAGAAGAGCACCCTGGCCTCTCCAGTGGTCCCCTCCCTCATGTCCTCACTTTCTAGGACACTGCTGGTCCTCCTACTCACCAAGACCCTGCTGTGCCCGCTGCCCAGGCAGCCAGCCCCATGTGTTTTCAGGGCCAAATGTCACCTCCGAGAGACAGCCCCTACCCACCCCATGTAAAGCAGCCTTGTCCCTCCTGCCACTGTCCCCTCTGCTGTATGTTCATTATGGCCCTTGGGCTGCTGGTTTACTTGTCCGTCTCTGTCTTCCTGCATTGGAAGGTCAAGGCCATGACAGGAAGGAGCCTGTCTGCCTGTTTACCAGTGCAAGCACTCCGTGAACATGGGTGGGATACATAAATAAATCCCCTTGAATCCCACGTGACAAAAATAAAAAAGCCTAACAGCTTCTGAGATGGACTGTAGAGAGTAGACAGTAGCCCCCGCCTGTGGACTGGGCGAGCTGGGGAGTGCGGGGCAGGAGGGCTGTGAGGAGTGGGTGTGTGTGCAGAGTGTGAGGAGTCTGGAGACAACATGTGCGCTCTGCACTGCAGGGACTGAGCAGTGCAATGCACACCCTACTCCTTTCCGGCGACGTTCATGCTGAGCGACATTCCCAAGTGCATGCCGAGCTCCCACACTTGGGCGGGTGTGCTGTCCCCACGGTGGGCGGGCCCGGCCATGGATGCCACGGGAGCCCTTCTGCTCAATGGGGGAGCCAGCCTCTGAGTCCCCTGGTGGCTCCTCCTGGGAAAAGGGCTGATGGCCACTCACTTGCTATCCATACAACCCAGAAAGAGATGCAGAGAACTAGCTATTTTCCCCTCTGGATTTTGATTTTAGGAGAAAGACACATCCTAAACGATGATTTGGAGCTCATTCAGAGACAACTTCCAGCACCTCCCACCCCCCCCATGACCCCAAGTCCTCAGGCCCTGCCCTGTGGGTGCACAGTTCAGTGACGTCTGTTACATGGATTTTAAACAGAAATAGCTCCTGCTTGTCATCCTGTCCTGGGGCATCAGCAGGGTCCCTGACGCCAAGGGCACCATCGCACGGGGTTCTGAACTTAGACACGTGCTGACCGCCCCCCACCACGTGACAAGTGTCCGAGCAGGTCAGTAACTGAGCCAGCACCAGTCAATACAATGTAGTCAACGCCCTCCCCGGGGCACTGGGTCTGACCCTAAATTTAACTCTGTCAAGGAGGAGAAAGACATCCATGAGAATAAAAAACATGCAGTTTTGTTTATGAAATGCAGTTTTCTTACCTAATGACGAGCACTACAAAAGTCAATGCAGTCAAAAACTTTAACCTGAGATCTGAAAAAGAGAAGCTCCCATTACACCCCCTGGAAGTGCATTCCACGTCAGATGAAAATGAAGCACACCGCTGAACAGGACCACTTCTTCTCTCTGGATTTGAAACCTGTCCGTACCGAACCCCAGGAGAAACGCCGTCCCACCCCCACCCTGGGGCCAGAAGGGTGGGGTCCCCAGAGAGGCCATGGCCATGAAGATTTGTTGTGACAGACTGGGGGAAAGGATCCCACGAGCCCAGGTGACTTCCTGACTCGAGAACTAGGAAAACTGCCCCGGCTGGCACCTCTGAGACCTGTGATGCCGGAAGGACCCAGGCAGCTCCAGCTGTCACGCTGGGCCTCAGGGCTGTGTCCTCAGTTATCCGTTCAGCCCTGCTGTGGCTCCCTGGGGACCAAAGGTGCTGGTCCCCAGCCTGTGGGAAAGGGACAAGTCCCTGGGTCCTCCCCCTCCGGGTCAGGCCACTTGCCTGGTGGCCTCCGTGCACCCTGCTGCCCGTGGCAGTTCGCCCTTCGCCCCTGACCGCCTCAGCCCGGGCACCTGGGCAGTGGTGCTTACCTACATAAGGCATGTGGCGAAGCTCAGAGCAGGCTCGCACGATCAGGAAGAAAAGATACAAAATGTACACAGCTGCCACCACCTCGAAGAAAACCTTCAGTCCCTGGAAGGAAACGACAGGGGCGCAGGATTAAAAGCAGGACCGCAGTGCGGCCCGCCTTCCAACACCAGACCCTGAAGGGGAAAGACGAGCATTTCAAAAAGGGACCCAGAGCCCCGAAGGTCGCTGCACTGGACAGAACAGGAAGGGCAACTCCGACTACGCTGGTCCGGGCTCAGCCTGCCACCCTCTCGGTGAGCACAGGCGGCCCACCCACCTATGGGACCCCCCACCCTTGCTAATGGGTTGAGGAAGAACCCAAATCCGTCCCTTGCCCACGAGGGAAGGTAGTGGCACGTGTCAGACTCCAGGCTCAGATCCTGAGAAGTCCTCAGGCAAGTCTCAACTTTCCGGACCTCAGTTTTCTTATCTGTAAAATGGGGACACTGAAGGAAGCCGTCTAGAGAGCATCAGGTCTAACACCCACAGTCCTGCGGTTTTGTTGTGGGGAAAACAAGAACACTTTGCTCTGAGGGCAGAAGCAGTGGCGGGAAGACAGGCGGCGGAGGACCGGGCCGTGCAGGCGGTGGCGCCCCACCCCTTCGTCTCCCAGCATCTTTCCGAGTCACAGGACTGCTGGTCAGGAAGCCTGGCAGCTGCTTCTGCACCCTCAGAACCTGTGACTTCCGTCCATTCTTGCCGGGGGGCTGAGATGATTCCTAATCACAGTGACTCCGCAGGGAGTGCTCCAGTATCACCCCATTGCACAGACGGAGAAGAGAGGACCGGGCGGTAGGCGCTGTGCGCCAGGACGGCTTCTCCCTCAGGGGCCTGGGAGCCCTGGCGGCCTGGGCGCTCACTTGGCTTGTCATGCCTCGGCTTCCTCACATGAGAACGAGGGACTGCACCGCACAAGAGCGCCGGTGACAGCAGACTGGCACGAGTCCGTGCTGCTGTGTCTAATCTGGGGGCTCCGCTCGACCACCAGCCTCACGGGGGTCTGTCCCCAGGTCTGCAGGACCGGCCCTGAGAAGGCGGCACGGCAGCCCCTCCTGTCTCCCGGGCCCACAGCGCCCCACCCCCTCCCCCACGAACCGACTCCAGCACGCCAAGGCTCATTAACAGACAAAGAAAAAGCACAAAACACAAAGATGTCACCTCCCCTTGTCACTGAGAGCACTCTCTGAGACGCCCCGGCTGGGCGCGTGCCCCTCAGACACCCTGCTCTCTGTCTCCTGTGCCTTTTCTTTGGGGGCAAGGTCGCGGCAGGCAGTTCGTAAGGCACACGTTCGGCACCTCCCTCCCTGCTAAACCAACTCCTCACGCCGATAAACGCACGACTGGCCAGGTTCCGGGCGCCGCCCCCTCCGGTTTCGCGCTAGGAATCAAGCGTTTAAACTGTTTCCCGAGACACGTACAGTCTCCACACAAGTTCAACATCTTTTCCACACACCCTTGCTCGTGAGCCCGCCCTCTTCTTCAGCCGCCGGCCCCACAGAGGACCACGGGCTTCAGCCCTTCGCCAGAGCTCCGCAAAGCCACAGAGAGCGGTGTGCGGCGTCACCAAGGCCCGGGTTCGCACCCTGCCTCTGGGGCGCCCGCACACTCTCAGGAGGGCTGACTGTGCTTCGGGGCCCCACGAGCATCCTGAGTGGGGAGAGCCCCGCACCGGCTACAGGTCGTTTGCGGGCCCCTGTGTGACATGAGAACGTTTGCACACCCTCTTCAAAAGGACGCAGATTTCTGACGGTGACAGCACAGACCACCCGGAGCACCGGGCCTGCGGCTGCACACCCAGCCCTGCGTTCACCTGCTGGAGACCTCCCGCCTCCTTAGGGGAGCGAACGGACAGAAACATTTTCTTAGAGATGCCACAATGTTCCTAAAGTCTGACACACTCTGGCCCCGGTGCTCCAACCATGAACCGAGGCCTGGGAGTGACAACATAGTTTTTAAAAGCTCATTTCTCATACGAGCCGAACACATTTCTCTACATTTTCCCCATGAACTTTCCACAGTCCTTCCCAGACGGCCAGTTAGCGAGTTCATGCCAACAGCACAATTTAAGTTATAAAGTTCAGTCATTTTCAAAAACAGCAGGAAAAGACCCTCGTGCTTCGTGAACGGCCCTTACCTGAAAATTCCCCGTGTCCACTCGGTACTGGTACATCGGATCATGCAATTCATTAACTCTAAAGTCACGTTATAAAAAACATCGATTAATAAGTAGTGTGCTCATTTTATATTTTCAAAAAATTATTAAACTACTTGCTAACCAACAGTAAGAAATTTTTTTAACAGTAATCCTACATTTATGGGGAATCCTAAATTTCATACTGACAATGCCTATGATGTTATTAGTGGCAAGTGTCCATGGTTATCACCCCTGGGAGGTCGAAGTACTTCTCGTCACCCAAACCCCTGGCCTGTAATCCTGCAGCGTTAAGAGCTGCGCTCCAGGCCCCTCCCAGTGACAGGCACGGGCACACGGACAGATGGACCAACAGGGAGGAGCACACCAAAGAAGGGACGAAAGTGAACACCGAACTTCCCGGACGCCGGCTGCGAAGTGAGGCCGGACGGCCGAGACTTCCACATGCAGGGAGAGGGGCAAAGGGTGAGCTCGGTCCTATCACTAAGCTGCCACAAAGTTCAAGGTGCAAGGTGCCAAAATCGCGCCCTAAAATGGAACTCGTTTCTGCAGAAAATCCACTAGAGGTTTCTGTGGTGGTACGATTTTACAAAAGCACAGAAAAACTAAAATGGAAAAGCCCTGGGAGCTGGGGTGAGGTGGAAAGTTTACAGTCTTGGCCAAAGGAGCAGCTAACACGCCTGGTGGCCGGTGGCGAGCCAGGGGCCACCAGAGTGAGCATCACTCCTAGAGATGACGTCTCTGCCTCTCTGAAGGAGGACTCTGAAGTGGCCCGTCCTAGGGCAGAATTGTGTGTCTCTTCTGTGTCATTAGGGCAAAAATGAACCTTTACTGCACACTACCGGGTCCTGAAACCCTGGGTGACGGATTCCTTTCCGGGTGCGCTCGCTACGTACAGTTGGACTTCAGGTCTGTCCACAGTGCCAAATGCTTTCCAGGACAAGTCCCACACTCAACAGAATTACTCACGTCTGCCATATTCCTAGTGTGACAGAAGCCAACCACAGCAGTCCAACAATGAAGAACTTAGGCAAGTAGAAAGTCAAACACTTCCTTTCTCCCTAAAAAGTAAAAGAGAAACAAATCGCGAAGTTAGTAATTCTGGCAAACCACTAACCCTAACAGACCACAGGGGGCCACAGACGCTTGAAGCATGTCTACGTGGCGTGCAGTATCCTTGTGGCTACGAGGCTGCAGACACGCTCCCAAGGGCGCGCTCACCTCCAGGACGCCCCCCGAGGCCGGCAGGGGCGGACACGGGCTCACCTGCACCCGGATCCCGTGGTACGCGCACAGCCAGAAGAGCAGCAGGGCGCAAAGGAACACGGACTGGAGGAGGTCGTCCAGCGTGCCCAGGACCCAGCTGTCCACCAGGAACGACAGGGGGAAGAACGGGTCTGGAAGGCAGACGGTGGGGGGCCTGCTGGGGGTGGCGCACGAAGGCCGCTTTCTTTTTCAGAGCCCCGGAGGCCCGCGAACAGATGGCCTCGGTGATGGTTACAGAGCACCGTCTGCTGCCCCCACCCGCTCCCCCCCGCAGGCCCGGGAAGCCCGAGGCCGTGCTCCGGAGCAGGAGAGTCACAGACGGTGGCATTTGCCACCTTCAGCCAAGTCCCAAGGAGGCTGCGTCTGTAGCTCTTCCCAGTTTTAGCCACCAAAGCAGTCACTCATTTGCGAAAGCCCCAGGCACCTCTGAATGCTGGTGTGGCGCCTCTCACATGCTGAGGGGCTGCCACCAGCTCCTTCAGGGGCCTGGGGCACTTCGGGAGACTGGGGGTGCCTCCCAGCTTCCCATTTTAAAGGGCAAAACTCCTTAAAAGTGGCACCTACCGTTGTACAATAGCAGCAGAGGCAACAGAATGGACATCCACTTGTGCTCGATGCCCCAGTCCCTCATGGAGAACTTGCGCAGGAAGTGCAGGAAGAGGCACTGCAAAGCAAGCCAGCCTGTAGTCACCGCGGGAGACCGAGGTGGCCCCGCTGAACCGACCACAGAGACCCTCGGTGACAACTGAGACGGGAGGGTAAACTGCAGAGGGGCCCGGGGTCAGATGGTCACAGTGGTTCTCAGGGGTGGGTGGGGACCAGGAATGAATGGGGCCACACAGAGATCTGCCCCAGGCGCAGGCCTCGCACCCCTGGCCAGGCAGCACGGACAGTCAGCACCAGGGCTGCTGGAGGACAAGTCCAGGGACAAGGCCCACGGTCAGGGGCGGGCTTATCTTCACAAGCCCCGGAAGGAGGTGTGGGGGCCTATAAGAGAAGTTCCTGTAAACTGCTTTAAAACATTATGTGATTTTTGATTCGGAGGTCTGGGTTTATTTCTTGTTTTGTTTTTCTATAATCTACTACAAGCCAACAAGTTTCTGGGCACTCGGACTTCCTGGTTGGTGGACCATTTCCTCTGGGCTGCCTGTTCTACTCAGGCCTTTTCTCCTGTGTGAGAACAAAGGGCAGCAGAACCCCCGGCACCAGAGATGCTTCCAGAAACACTCTGACTGACCAACCAGAAATGGTGGTTTCCCACTGTCCTGGGGCCAGCTCACGAGGGAGGCCCTGGGCATGGCCTGACAGCACAGTCCCCAGCTCTCTATGTACTTCAGTGCCTGTGCCCCACCCTCTGTCCACACTCAGGTCCCAGCCACTGCCGTCTGGCACCTTTCTCATGTCCCCCGTGAGCTGTGTCCTGTACATACTGTTAGTCTGCAAGGCACTGGGCGTTCCTCAGGGGGCTCCTGGGGTGGAGGACACCGGGGACCAGACGCGTGTCCTTAATGTCACAGCCTCTGTGCCAGCGGGGCGCAGGCAGCCGACGCGGGCAGAAGGCCACCCTTCAGATGGCGATGAGCCACCTTCCCTCCTCCAACCCACCGATTCCCGCTTCACAGCCTGGGCTGCCCTGGGGCCGCCCTGCCCTGTGGCTGAGCACCCCCCAGACCGCCCGTCTGGGCCTCACTCCCGAAAAGCCCGGGGGCTAAAGGTGTGATGTGACTTTCCAAATGCGAAGCCCCAGCTGGGTCTGCACCCAACGAGGCAGGCCACCACCACCGCACAGGCAGGTGGCACTTGTCACTGTGCACTGAGGAGAGTGTACACGTCAGTGGCCTGTGACTACTATTGCACACGAGTCCCTGCTAGAGAGGCTGCGTCACTGTTCACGCTGCAGCAGCCTCGCGATGCGCAGAGTATTTAGTAAAAGCGGGTTGGCTCTGGGGCGGGGCGTCTCCGAGTCCAGATGAATCGCCTGCATGGTCCACACTTAGGCGATCGTAATTCACACGCTGACCTGGCCCCTGTTAGGACCTGCTGAGTCTGTCAGGCCGGTGGTACTCACAGTGACAATGCAGGTAAGCACCATGAAGAAGAACCGGAACCAAATCTCTAACCGGGAAAATGCTGGGTTGTAAGTCTTCCACTAAAATGGAAAGTAGGGCAACAATTGGAAAAAAATGTATTTAAAAGGTACCACAGCCCAGGGAATATAGTCAATAATATTGTCATAACTGCGCATGGTGCCAGATGGGGACCAGAAACACCAGGGAAGGGCTTTGTAAAGTCCCCGGCTGACCGATCACTGTGCTGTGTTCCTGAAGCTAGTACACAATAATACTGATTGTCAACCACATGGAAAAATAAAGTTAAAGTAAGACATAAAAAGGAAGCACATCAGATTACTCATAATAGTTGCCTCAAGCTATGAGAATGTAGGTAATTTAAAATGTTCTTTCCCTAACACTCTCCTTACATGTTCTAAAATTTTAACACTTAGTACACTTTATTTTTATATTAAAGAACAGACTTTGAAAATATTAGTTACCTAGAGCTGAAAACAGTTTTCAATGGCATTATACTTAGGACGAATCTGGCAGACAGATTATTCTATAATCATAGTAAGAGCATTTGGCTTTTGAATCTCGTATCAAAAATCGACACTGTCCATCCATCTCTGTATGAGAGAACGCCAGGTCTTCCGTGAAAAGAGAGAAGAGTTTGCATCGCTTACAGAAGAGATGAAAACCGGGAGTGGGCCGGGCACTCTAAAAAATGACAGAGTGAGCCAGGGAAACAGGAATCTGGAACCAAAGGCTGCCAGTCCCGCTGCTGTTGGAGCAGTTTCACGGTGCCAGGCGCACCCCTCACAGAGCGGAGGAGGCCAGCAGTGCGCACTGGCAGTCCCTGAGCCGGTGCCACCAGCACTGCACTGGGCCGTGAGCTGCACCGCCTACGGCACAGAATCAAAATCAGTCGAGAGGCTTTAAAACCCCACTTCGAGACAGGCACAGAGTCACCTATGCTAGATGTAACTTACTTGCCAGGAACATTAAAAAATACACACACACAATTTCAGACACTGGAAATGAGGCCATGAAAGATAATAATGTCTGGCTGATGAGAGGGAGGTATACCCTCTGGCTGTCCCAGGGTGGGGGACCCCAAGCAGAGCCCAGAGGCCTCCCTGAGCCGTGAACACTCAGCTGGAAGTCCGGGGGAAAAACTCACTGGTGATGATTCGCAGGATGGAACACTGAGAAAAGAGCTGCACTGAGAGAGCGAGATTGAGAGAGAGAGCGCCAGAGAGAGAGGGGGGCCCTGAACACCGGCCAGAGGCTTCCCCTGTCTTTGCCTGAGCCCTGATCAGCAAGCAGGTGAGTGTGGGTAAGCCACCCAAGGCCAGGAAAACCCTAAAGGCTCACTGGCGCCCACACAGGCCAGCAACAGCGCCTGCCCCAGGGCAGCGGGCGCCACAGGCCTTAACTGCAGTGCAGGGGAAGTTAGCTTTGATCTTAGACTCAGAGCTGCTTTGAGCCCACAGAGTATAGTTTAAAAGCAAGGCCCAAAAAGATCAAACCATTTCCAAGTCACTTCACAACATCCCTGAGCAAAGCTCAAGAATATAAGTAAGGATACAGGATCTAACCATCACCAGTGTCTGGCCCTGAGCTAAAAACACCAAGCATGTAGAAAAGCGAGAAAATACGAACCGCAGTGACCAAACAACAAAGCAGTCAAAACAGACCCAGAAGTCACTGATGGTGGGACTGGCAAGTACGGACATCAAGAAGCCCAGGGAAAGAGGGAGCCCAGGAAGCAGAGACTCGGAGAACGGCTGCCACAGAGCAGAAGGGACGGAGGTCAGTGAAGCAGGGATGCAGCAGCAAGCCCAATCCAGTGCGCATGGCAGGGGGAGAAGCGAACTGAGCGCCAGGGGGCTTCGAGGCAACTTCAAGTGGCACCCAGAGTCCCTGGGTTTCTGTGGGGGGCAGGGCGGGGCAGGAGAATGGAAAAAATATTTGAAGGAATAATGGCTGAAGTTTTTCCAAATTTGATGAAAACTGTAAACTCACAAATCCAAGAAGCTTGAAGAACCCTAAGTACAAGACACGTGAAGAAAAGCACATCAAGGAACCACAATCGTTTAAGTACAAGAGAAACACCTGAAAGTTTCACGGAGAACAAATAAGGACAGATTTCTCGTCAGAAAAATGCAGGCCAGTGCACAGTATCTCACAGCCCCACAAGTGAAAACCTCAATGTACTGTAACAACACCCACACCTAACACCATGGCCCAAACCAAAGACACGGGCCACCCGAGCTTCACCCGGACAACAGGCGTCCGGAACTCGTGCACTGCCGGTGCAGACGTAAAACAACACAACCGCACTGGAAAACAGTTTAACACACCTCTACCACGCGACCCAGCCATTCCGTTCCTAGGTATTTAGCCAAGAGAAGGGAACGTGCACGGCAAAGGTGCATGCTCAGGTGTTCACCACGGCCACACTTGCAACAGCCCTGAGCTGGGAGCAGCCCCAACGCCCATCAACGGGTGAAGGGACCCGCCACTGCTACTGCAGCCGCTCAGTGGAATGTTACCCGGCAACAGAAAAGAATGAAACATTGATACACCCAACCTCATCAGTCAATCTCAAACTAATTACGTTGAGTGAAAGAATTCAAACACTATGATTCCATTTATGTAAATTCTACAAAACACAAATGAATCTCTAATGCAAACAGACTGCGGACCCTGGGGGTGAGAAGCCTTGAGAGGGTGGGTATGCTTATTATGTTGTCATGGCGATGGGTTCCCAGGTACATACATCTATCAAGATGGAGCAGTTTTGTATTTTACGTATGTTCACTTCTGTGTGTGTCAATTACACCCCAAAAAGCCTCCCAACAAAAGCCCAGTTACCAACTGGTGTCCACGGGAAAGCGAAGCACCGTAATCCAAGGAGTGTGAAGTCTGAAGCCAGAGACTCAGGTTCGAATGCCAGGTCCTCTGTTTCCTAGTTGAGCGACTTACTTAATCTCACTAAGCTTTGGATTTCTTTTCTTCAAAATGGTGATACTCTTAATTACTTGGAGAATTATTGTAACATTTAAATAAGATGATGCATATAAAAAGTTTAGACCAGTGCCAGCAAGTAGGAAAAATTCAGTAAGTAACAGCTGTTATTACAAATCCAAAACACGACAGAGACAATCACCGCTGTGCGTGTGACCCTCACACGGCGGTCGTGGCAGTGACTGTGAGCACCGACCAGGACTGGGGTGGACCGAATGCTCACTCAGGAGAAGCGCAACGCACGTCTGAGCTGAAAAGCAGACTCTAAGGCACAATCGAAAAGAGAAAAAAGATGTGCTGCCCTCAGGAACGAACTCACGAAGCAAGTTGAAAGCAGCGGTGAGGAACGTATGTACCTTCACCGTCACAGGACTGGAGTTCTTAGGAGAGGAAAAGCCCCTGGTTTCCACGCTGAGGGTCTGCCAGAGCCGCAGGAAATGCTCCGCCCACTCACTTACACGAGAAGACAACGCCCCCGTGTTCACACACTTGGCTCCTGAGACTCCCATCCAAGTTTTCAAATCCGAGCCAGTTGAAGGAAGGAGGGGAAGTGCGGCCTGGGGATGGAGCAGACGGCGCCAACTCCAGCTTTCGGAACAGGCCGCGCCCAAGCTGCCGCCCGAGGCACCCTGGCGCCCCAGGCCTGTGTGCGTGGTCCCCTCTTACTTCCTCCCGGGAAGAAGCCCCATCCTTCCTGCCCGGTGGGGGAGCCATTTCCACACGAGGCTCCTCTCAGGGAGGCCGCCCCTGCCAGCAGTGGCGAGGGGTCACCTCTGTGTCCCAGCACAGCAGCTCAGTCTGGCACTCGCTTCTGCCAAAGGCTTGAAAAGCCTTTCTTTCCCCTCGAGTGAGCTCCGACCGTGAAGCTCGGAGAGCAGGCACTGGCCCTCCGCTGTGGACAGCAACCCCACAGTCGCTGGGACCTGGTGACACCGGATCCGGTGGACGGCTGCCTGCAGACAGACACGTGCTGCTGGGGGCAGAGCTGGGACAGAGTCGAGCACTCTGGGCTTGCCCTGGTGGCCATTCTGCCTCCCCAGAGGCTGGAGACTGGAGACGCAGCTGGGGTAACTTTCACCCTGAACTTGATCTTCCTCAAGGAAGCACTGGCAGGTGGAAGGAAGAGCGACATGCACAGGGGAAGGCCCATCTATCCCTGGAGCTCTTACAGAGTCGTCCGTAATGCTGCACATATCAGATCCCTCACTCTCATCGCTGTGCAGTGGTCCACTACAGGAATGGGCCACCGTCAGGGCGCTCACCGTACTGCTGAGGAGCCTACCGTCCGCAGCTACTGAGAATGGGGCTGCTGCGGCAGGAGGCCCCCCTAGGCCCCCACGCCCACTGTGCCGGCTCACACCCTCCCCAGCCGGGCAGTCACGCCCCGGCCAACTCCGGCCCCTTCTTCGCTGTAGCCACGCTGGTGGGTGTATAACTGTCACTAACACACTTTTAAGATGTATTTTATTTCTTAAACTTGTTTACTTCCAAAAAGGAATGAGGGCAGCTTGTAATAAAAAGCCAGACTCAAAAAAAAAAACACAACAATTTTTAAGGTTTTTTAGAGTAAAGATGTAAAGAAAGGGGGTAATTATACAAACCTATACCCGGACATTGGTAATTACTCCAATTCACATGAAACCAATTTCTGAAATGTCCAGCAGCCAATACAGAAAGAGAAATGTGATGAGTTATATAGCTTTCACTCTCTAATAAAAAGACTTATAGCAAGTGAGCAAGCAATATTTTTTGGAAGGTTAAATCAAAGTTCACAACAAAACTGATACTGTCTTCAAAAAGAATTTTATAAAAGACACAAAAATACTTTAATGCCTCTCTAAGCAGCAGACATAATGCTACTTTGTGATTCTCTGAGGTAGTTTTATGATAATTGAACTTTTTAGAGTGAATAGCTACAGTGTATCCTGGACATCCCCTTGAAATTTTGGTTGTCCTAGGAACCTTAAAAAAAATCTTTATCAGAGCATATGCTTATTGAGTTTAGAGAGAGGAAGGGAAAGAAGGAGAGAGAAACATCAACAAGAGAAACATCAGTCAGTTGCCTCTCATATGCACCCCAACCGGGGATCAAACCCACAACCTAGGTATGTGCCGACTGGGAATCGAACTGAAACCTTTCGGTGTATGGGATTATGCTCTAACCAACGGGGTCACCCAGCCAGGGCCTTAGGAGCCTTTAAAAAAACAATTTCTTTTCTGATTATAAAGGTAATAGGAGCTCATTATAAAAAATAATAAAAAAAGCCCTGGCTGGCGTAGCTCAGTGATTGAGCGTGGGCCTGCAAACCAGAGTATCGAGGTTCGGTTCCCAGTCAGGGCACATGCCTGGGTTGCAGGCCAGTTCCCAGCAGGGGACTCACGAGAGGCAACCACACATTGATGTTTCTCTCCCACTCTTTCTCCTTCCCTTCCCCTCTCTCGAAAAATAAATAAATAAAATATTTAAAAAAAAATAAAAGAAAAAAATTAAGCCTAAGCCCACTACTACCCAGAGACATCCTTCTAGATGGTTTACTAAAATACTCACCACAATGATCTGTAACAGCCCAAAACTGGAAACAATGCAAACGCCCCTCGACTGACGCTAGGCCACAAAATGCGGTGTGCATAGCCGCAGCGGGGTACCACCTGGCACACAGGAACGCAGCACTGATGCCCACGGCAGCGTGAACGGACTAGGAAAACGTTACACTTGGGGAAAAAGTCGCTCGCAAAAGACCACACACTGTATAACTCCCTTCATCTGCGGTGCCCAGAACAGGAGAATCTGCAGACCCAGAAATAAGATCTGTGATCGCCTAGAGCGGGGAGACGGGGAGAGACGAGAAGTGACCACTGATAGGCTTCTGGGGTGATGAGAACGCGCTAGACAGTGGTACTGGGTGCACAACTCCGAACAAGCTGAAAACCACTGAGTTATACAGTTTAAAAGGGTAAATTTCATGGTCTGTGAGTTATATCCCAATAAAGCGCTGTTTTTAAAAAAGGAAGCCATCAGGACCCTGATGCAACAGAAGTGGAGGCTCAACGGTGTCAACCCGTAAACGCTGGGGTCCCGTGAAGTCTGGTTGTCCCGAATTCAGGATGCCACTGGGCTGGCTATCCTAGCAAGTGGAAGGAACTAAAGGGGTTTATCGTCACCGAAACAGTATTATAGGAAGCGTTAAAGGGCTTTCTTCAAAACAAAGGAGAAAAAGAAATAAAAATAGGAGTAACAGGCAGTAACTATACATCTATCAATACCTTATTTATTTTTAAATTATTCTTATTTATCCTACGCAACTGCACCAATTTATCCCGCTTTGCCCTCCTCTACCCAGTCCACTTCCTGCTCCCAGAGTCAACCGCACACCATGGTCCATGTCCTCGGGTCACTCACTCATACGTGTTCTTTGACTAGTCCCTCCCCCTTCTTTCCATTCCTTGCTAGGCCCCTCCCCCCGGCAGCTGTCAGTCTGTTTCATTTCTACGTCTCTGGTTCTGTTTCGCTTGCTACCATATTTTTTCAGACTATAAGACAGCCCCCCGCATCCTATTTTGGGAGAAATAATGGTTGTTAATGCTGCTGTTGAGTTCTGTTTACATTTACACTGCTGAAATACTGTTATTTATGTTATTAAATGTTTTACCACATTTTTTGCTTCAAAAATTTTTTTTCCTATTTTCCTCTAAAACCTAGGTGTCTTATGGTCTGAAAAATAAGGTACTTTATTTTATTCATTAGATTTGATCCATTCATTTACTGACGGGCACTTAGGCTGCTTCCTGCACTTGGCTATTTGTAAATAACACTGCTATAAACACAGGGGTGCAAAAGTTCTTTTGAATTGGTGTTTCAGGATTCTTAGTGTATGGTCCCAGCAATGGGACCACTGCATCAAAGGAGAGTGTCATTTTTAATTTTGCTGCATTCCCACCAACAATGCACTAGGGTTCGCATCTCCCCATTCCTCACCAGCCCTCGTTTGTTGATTGGTTAGTGATGACCACTCTGACAGTGTGACGTGATAGCTCACTGTGGTTTTAATTTGCATCTCTCTGATGGCTAGCGACGTTGAGCATCTTTTCATGTCTATAGGCCCTTTTTGTGTCTATTCTATCAACAATTACTTTAAATGTAAATGGATGAAATGCTTCAATCAAAATACACACAATGGCAGAATGGGTAAGAAAACAAGGCCCTCCCATGTGCTGTCTACGGGAGACTCACTTCAGATGGAAAGCCACACACACACTGTAAGTAAAGGGATTGAAAAAGATATTTCATAAAAACGTTGGGGGGGGAGCAAGGGAGCAGTAATTATACCAAAAAAACTGACTTAAAACAAAGACTGTAATAAGAGACAAGAAGGACCCAGCAACTCCACTACTGGGTATTTATCTGAAGAAACTCAAAACACTAAATCCCAAAGACACACACACCCATGTGCCCACGGCAGCATTACTTCCAAGAGCCAAGACATGGAAGCAACTCGAGTGTCCATCAACAGATGAGCAGATGAAGGAGTGGCCCACATACACAACAGAATACGACTCAGCCATGAACAAAGAATAAAACCTGGCCACCGGCAACAACGCGGGTGGGCCTGGAGGGCACTGTGCTGAGCGAGATGAGGCAGAGAAACAAAAGCCGGATGAACTTGCTTCTACTATGTAGAATCTAGAAACCAAAGTAAACGAACGAGCAGAAGAGAAACAGACTCACAGATACAGAGAAGATTTTGACAGTCGCCAGAGGGGAGGGAGGTGAGGAGAACGGGTGAGAAAGGTGAGGGAATTAAGAACCATGAATTGGTAGTCACAGAACCGTCAGAGGGATGTAAAGTGCAGCACAGGAAACACACAGCGAATAATAATACGAGGTGGCCAAAGTGGGTTTACGGCCGTGAGTACACAGCACACAGCTTACTCCTGTACTGTTATTTTTCCAGGCGAACAACAGCAAACCTGCCTTTGCCCCACCCTGGATTGTAATAACTATGCGCTGTGCCAGATGTATGCCAGATTCATCGGGGTTTTCACTTCCTCAGTATATAAATATCTAATCTCTTGGTTGTACACCCAAAACCGATATAATACTGTACATCAACTGTAGTTGAAAAGTAAGAAACAGAAATAATTTCTCTGTAACTTTTAAAAACTGTACATGTCTTCCACTACCCGAAACAACGCGACTTCAGCACCGTGTCATTTCTACCGCTCAGCAGAAGGACAGCCGTGGAAACACCAAGGCCGGCTGCACACTTACCGTGAAGTTCACTTTCTTGATGGGCACCTTGAGGTGCTCGAATCCCACAATCGCTGTATACTTCGTGTAATTCAGGTAGCCAAGGTGAGCCACGATAATCTCTGCGCACTTCTGCAAATGCACAAGGAAGCATGGGGTCTTTAACGCAGGCAAGACCCCCTCTCCCTCCAAGTGACTGTGAAGTGACCTGTGTCGACACCAGCGACCCAAACTGACCACCTCCGGGGAACTCAGCAGAAGCCTACACGACTGAGGGTGCCAGCCAGCCACACACCATCCTCAGAGAGAAAGGTCCCGGGGGGTATTTTTAGAAATAAATGAAAAGACTTACAGTCCCTAGACTCTACGTGGGACGACTCGAATGCAGCTGCCCAAGGAAGTTTCCAGGGTGACACAAACCCGACACCTCCACGAACACACCCGTGCGTGGGGAACGTAGCTGAGACACAACCAGTCAGACCCGCGGCTCCCCCGCCTCCTCGTGCCACGTCTGCAGCTGAGGTGAGTGGCCCGGGCCCTTGTCCTCCCCACCGGCCTGCCGTGAAGGCAGCGTGAAGGCACGAGTCCAAGTCTCTCTAAACCCTGAGGCTGACTGGCGACGCTGGGCTTGTCCTGAAGCCCGAGTGACGGGCGTGGGGAGGGACAGGGTCATGGGGTCCCCATGACCCCAGGCCCTGCTCTCCCACGGCCGACACACGAGTCAGCGGCTGTTTATGCGGCATCCGCACTGCGGTTCCTCTCCCACCTGATCGACTTTCCTCATGGGCAGGGGCCACCTGCTCTCGGGGCACACGAGTGTAGGGCCCTGCTCCCAAAAGAACCAAACCCACCTTTTGTCTCTGACACGGGGGCACAGGGCGGTGCTCCGGGAGGGGCAGCGGAGCACTGCGCGTGATGCAAAGGTCTGCATCAGTGACTGTCTGCGCTGCACAGATAAACACTTCTTACAAGTTCAGAGTCTGTCTGGACTTAGAGGGATGCCTCGACTAACAAGAGAGTTCCACGTCAGGCTGTACATGTCTTCAAGTTTAAAGAGCTACAGTCAAACCAGCTGAGGCTCTGTGGGCCGGAAGTTCAAGCGCTGGTGCGTGTGCAGACTGCAAAGGCCCTCTCCACTACCTTCCACATGTCTTCCACTACCAGCGCCAGAAGGCGCTGCAGCCTTCTCAGCTGCGGGACAGGCCACCTGCTACCCGAAATAGACGATGTCCTTCTTCACATCGAAACACAAAAAAGGGAATACGAAGGGGTGGTCACTATCTCTGTGATGCGAAAACTCCATCTTTTTGCAAGTCAGTGTCAGAAAAAGAGACCTGAGCAGAGACAGAACCACAGAAGGATAGGTCCCCAAAGGTGGCACCATGTGAACTGAAGTGGGGCCACCAACGGGAGAGGGGAGAAACCACAGCGACGCAGGAAGCAGCGCTGTCCAGGTGCACAGCACGGCGGATGCTTCCAAGAAGCAGCCATGGGGACAAGTGGCCCGTGGGCAGCCCAGCTCTAGTCAAAGCACAGGCTTTGGGGGCGGGGAAGGTGTTGCGGGATGGTAGCGGCCAACCTGTCCCAGTCCCGTGTCCTGGGAAACCAGCAAGACCAATCACACTGTCCTCAGGACGAAGTCATGGACCACCTGTCCATCACCTGCTCAGTCCAAGAAAAGAGCGATGCTGAGAGTGGACCCCTGACCGTCTGCCTGCCAGTGGAGCCATGTCCTTTCCGACTCCACGCCTGCTGTCCCTCCTGTCCTTCGGCCGCACCAGCGGAGCACTGTACACGGGCCGGTGGGGGCTGGGTGGGCGCCTCCTGCTGGCACGAACACTACACGCTCGCCTACAACATTCAGCCTGATCCCATGGTCCAGACAGGCAGCAGGGGCGGAACCCCACTTCACTGACAATGAAACTGCACATCAGAGCTGCCTGGACCTGCTCACGGTGATGAGCAGAGGCGGACGAGAGCAGTGCTTCCCCACTCAGCCGCTGCCTGGTCCCCCTGACAGGCCAGCCCAGCAGGGCCGCTGTGGTGGGTGGTCAAGGGGGCACGGCAATGGCTCAGCCAGGAAAGGGAGGCACTGCCCCACCAAGAGCCCAGCCCCTTCGGGCCATGCTTCTGACCCACCCACAAAGAGTGGCCACAGTCAGGGCCCCCCACGGAGCAGGTGCCCTCCCCTCACCACACCCCTGGCCAGAGGAGCAGGCTCCAGGTCTCAGCGCTCTCAGCGAGGTGTGCATGCGGGCGCCGAGGGCACGCCCTTCAGAACGGAAGAGCTTGGGCTGACATCCTGTGCCCCTCTGAGCCTGTGTTTTGACCTCTCTGAGCCACGGGTCCTTCGTATACAGAACAGGCTGCAATGAAGATCCTGCCCCGTGGGCCCGCTGGGAGGACTAAAGAAGGTGCCGTCGAGAGCACCTGGCACGAGGCCCAGTGGAGGAGCCGCTGCGCCCACCCTGGACGCAAACACACGCCCCTTCCGGTGCCCCCCATGCTCTCCAGGCTGCCACGCAGTCCCGAGGGCACGTCCTGACTGCAGCAGGGACCGACCACCCAGTCTGATCCTGCCACCTGTGAAAGACACGGTGCGGCAAAGGCTGGGCCCTTGGGTGTCCGACCACACAGCTACACACCACACCTGAAGCGGGTGCTCGGCCACAGGTCCCTCTTCCTGAGTGGCCTGGCGCTCTCGGGGCCCCCAGACAGGTCAGGGTGGGTGTCACACAACTGGCAACAACCCAGCACCCTACGCAAAAATGACCGCAGGGCAGTGGCGGGCTTCCACGTGTGACAGGCGGCCATCAACAGCCATCTAGGGACACACCTGGCAGTAAATCACACAAACCAGTGAAAGTACGCCTCACACAGACTCGGGGTGTGTGGTGTGCTGTGTGTTTGCATGTGCATGCACATGTGTGTGTTCGTGAGCATTCATGAAAGTGTGGGCATACAGAGTCGGAGGAGTCTCCACCCCATCACTGGTGAGGGTTTCCTTGCCTGCGACAGCAAGACTGACGGTGCAGCGTGAGAATGGTCACAGCCGCGGGAACGCACTCACCCCGGTACACGTGAGGGTCCGTGTCCGGTTGTGAGCTTTGTTGTGAATGAACTTGGTGGTTCCGTCTTCAGCCACCCCATCCACTTTGACAGTCATGGAAAAGTTGGTCTGAACAGACGTCTCTACAAAGGAGAGAAAGGCAACGTCAGGGACCACGCTGGGCACTTAGTCGCACTGACAAGTGCCTGCCTGGCTCTGTGACGACCCAGGGCCACAGCATCTTTGAAACGCCCGCCCTGCCAGCCAGGTGAGGCCACTGTCGCCGCCCCCCCCGCCGCCCCCGCCCCCAGAGACCCGGTCGGAGCCCACAGTTGAGCCCTGTTGGTCACTTCCCGGAAAGGCCCATGTTCCGTGGCTAATGGATCACTTGTTATTCCCCACACAGATTTTTAACTTTATACCAATATGAAAGAATAGATTCATAGTATTTCTTCAGATATACACTTTATTTTTCTGATTAAACGCTCACTGTTGTATAAAAGTAGAGGAAAAAGACCACGAAGACGGCATGAAACACTCCAACCGGCCGCCCGGAAACTGCAGTAAGGGCGCGGTCCAGCCTCCCAGGCCCTCTTCTGGTCCTGCGCTTACGCAGCGAACGCTGAGTTCATTTAGTCTCGTAAAATGTTACCCAACAGGGGCTGTTTTCTAATACACGTTTTTTCACTTCATTTACTGTGGCCAAGGGTTCTTTTCAAATTCTTTCTCCACCAAAGCACCTCACCTGGATCCCGGGACACCACAGACACCGCGGTGGCCACCCTCGCAGCCCTCAGGACGGTGCCCAGCCAGCACCATTCTTGGTGAACAGAGCTCGTCCGCTGTAAACCAGGGGTGCTCTGGGGAGGGCTTTGCGGCCTGGGCACCACCGGCACGGCGAGGCCACGCGGTTCTCGGCTGTGGGGTCTGTCTGGTGCACTGCAGAATGCTCAGCAGCACCCCCGGCCTGCACCCACCAGACACTGGCAGCTCCTGCTTCTCCCCAGTTGTGACAATCAGACGGACACAATGTCTCCAGACATTGCCAAGTGTCCCTGGGGGACAGGTCTACGGCCCTGGGGCATCAGCACCTAATCTCCTCCAGAAGCCCACTGAAGAGGGAGGTACCACGCAGCCATTGGGCTGCGCTGACCGGCTCTCCCCGAGGGCTGCATCATCACCTGCTTGGGAGGACAACGGAGAATGCGGAAGGGACTTCCGACCTGCTGCCACTACAAAGAGCAGAGAGCACCCGTGTAATCGACCTTTGAACACCTGTTCAATGACTTCAAAGCTCTTTCAACTTTTCACACATGGCGCTCGGTGCAAAGAGCACTCAGACCGAGCATCAGGCTGCGTACCTCGTGACTGATTCAACTCCACGACACACGTCAGCCACAGCTGCTGGTTGTAGGCGGACAGTGGATTGGAATGCACTTCGAATGCCTTTAGGTGAAGGAAAAAGAAAAGGAAGTTAAGTAACCTATGTGACCTTTTCATTGCATCTACCAAGTAACTCACCTTAACACCCAAAATTTACATTAAGCAAAGATGTTTGAATGTTAGTGCCGATTCCTTTGGACAATGTAAGTGAAATTCTGCCTTCCTGAACAAGGACAGACTGACTCTCCGCTACGATCCCCTCGGCCTCTCCCAAAACCCTCTCTGCAGGCGGCGCCCACCACCCGCAGCCCTGGGACGACACTTCTACCTAAACACACACACAAAAGGCCATCTTGGAGAAAAAACTGAAAGTGCACATGATGAGACACTTAACAAGGACACCGAAGGAGTATGTTCACAAGAACCTTGATTTAGCATCAACACGCCAGCCATGTCACTGTGTGACGGCTCTTTTCAGCTTCAGAAAAGTCTTCACACCCTTGAGGAGAAAAACTAGGACCAGGATGACAGTGACACTTCTGCGGGGTCTGCTGGGACACACGGCCCTGCTGTCTGCAGGCGGGGGCTGGGAAGGAAGCTACTCAGGCAGCCCACCCACGGTCCCCAAGAAAAGCGCTGTGTGCACGTGCCATCTGTGAACGCCACGCGTGTTTCAGGTGCTGCGACGCTTTTGGAGACTTCTATAGAACTGTGACCAGGTACTTCTGGCCAAGATGGAGGCGTAGGTGGAAACATAACCACCTGTGCCTCCTCACATAACCAAGTTTAAAGACAACAAAGTTTTAGTAAAAAAAATGCAACCAAAACACAGGAAATTGAACTGTATGGAAGTGGGACAACAATGAACCATTCAGCCAGATCCCATCACAACGCAGTGACTGGTGAACACCTAAGGCTCCGCCTTTCATATGTAACAGGTGCAAACAGACCAAAACATTATGGCTCAAGAACAGCTCAAAGCCCCAGAGCCAATACTTCTAAGCAACCAAGAGATAGCCAACCTATCAGATGCACAGTTCAAAACACTGGTGATCAGGATGTTCACAGAACTGGTTGATTTTAGTCACAAATTAGAGGAACAAATGAAGGCTAAACTAATTGAAATGAAGGGAAGTGCACAGGAAAGCAATAGTGATGGAAAGGAAACTGGGACTCAAATCAAGGGAGTGGACCAGAAGGAAGAAAAAAATGACCAAACAGAAAAATATGAAAAAACAAGAATTCAAAAGAATGAGGAGAGGCTTCGGAACCTTCAGGACATCTTTAAACGTTCCAACATCCGAATTATAGGGGTACCAGAAGGGGAAGAGGAACAGCCATGAGTGGAAAACTTATTTGAACAAATAATAAAGGAGAACTTCCCCAATCTGGCAAAGGCAATAGACTTCCAGGAAATCCAGGAAGCTCAGAGAGTCCCAAAGAAGTTGCGCCCAAGAAGGAACACACCAAGGCACATCACAATTACATTAGCCAAGATTAAAATGAAGGAGAAGCCCTGGCTGGTGTAGCTCAGTGGATTGAGCACAGGTCTGCGAACCAGAGGATCCCAGTTCGCTTCCCAGTCAGGGCATATTCCTGGGTTGCAGACCGGTTCCCTGCAGGCCAGTTCCCAGCAGGGGATGCACGAAAATCAATCATACATTGATGTTTCTCTCCCTCTCTCCTTCCCATCTAAAGATAAATAAATAAATAAAATCTTTAAAAAATAAATAAAATAAAATGGAGAGAATCCTAGAAGCAGCAAGAGATAAGGGACAGTCACCTACACAGCTGATTTCTCAAAAGACTGTCAGACTGATTTCTCAAAAGAGACCTTACAGGCAAGAAGGGGCTGGAAAGAGGTATTCCAAGTCATGAAATCCAAAGACCTACATCCAAGATTGCTCTATCCAGCAAAACTTTCATTTAGAATGGAAGGACAGATAAAGCACTTCTCAGATAAGATCAAGTTCAAGGAGTTCATCATCACCAAGCCCTTATTATATGAAATGTTAAAGGGACTTATCTAAGAAAAAGAAGATAAAAAAGATGAACAGTGAAAAGACAGCAAACTCACAGTTATTAACAACCACACCTAAAACAAAAGCAAATTAAGAGGACAGCTAGATCAGGAGCAGAACCATAGAAATGGAGATCACATGGAGGGTTAGCAACAGGGGAGTGGGAGGAGGAGAAGGGGAGAGAAGGTACAGAGAATAAGTAGCATAGATGGTAGGTATAAAATAGACAGGGGAGGGCAAGAACAGCATGGGAAATATAGAATCTAAAGAACTTGTGACACATGGACATAAACTAAAGGGGGGAATGGTGGGGGAGGGGGTGTGCAGGGTGGAGGGGAATGAAGGGGGGGAAATGGGACAACTGTAATGGCATAATCAATAAAATATATTAAAAAGGAAAAAAACAACTGTGACCAAGGCGTGCCCCACAGCCACCTGCATGATGCAATCTACCGCAGGATAATCTGCCGTCCTTCGGAAGGGAGGGGGGCCCTTTGGAAGCGCATCAGCCCATGGGCAGGCTGCTACGTTCCTTGTCTTTACAAAGACCGACATCCGGAGGGACAGCGTTTACAGATCAACTACGGCCTTCCTGGCCATGGCCAAGCCTCTCCAGATCAGTGGCACGGGCTCAGAGCTAAGGAAAACAAGGAAATGCAGGGAAAAGAGGCTGCACAGGGCACCGTTTCAAGCCAGCAGGAGCAAAAAGGAGAATTAAAAGGTGTAAGTTTTAGGACATTTTTCTTCTTTTGCCCTTTCGAAAACTGTAAGGGTGGAAACACAGCAGGGAGCTGGGAGGACAGACAAGGGGATCTTTGAGGTCAGAGAATCAGCGTTAACCATACACGTGACGGTGCCAGGAGACTGCAAGACAAGAGCGTGCAGTTTACAGATAAAGATGATGTTGGATATGCAGAAAAAGAGACGGGCTTAGTTGTTCGGGCTCTCACAAGCCAGCTTTATTAAAGAATACCCAAAATCTCCGGTTGGAAGGACTTCTGTTTTTCTGTAAAGGTGGTGAAAAACCAAGGAAAATTTAAAAAAAAAAGAAAAAAGGATATTTCATTTGAACTGAGTTCGTGCAAAGAATACCGATCATCCGAAAGAACTTGACTGTTGGAAACCGAACACGGAGGCCACGTCTCGAGCTAAAACACAGTGAGCGTGGCTGTCAGAACCGAGGAGCAGGACGCGTTGAGCAGCCTTTGGAAAGGAACTGCTGCTCCCCGGGCTTCACCCCCCCATCCCTTCTCAGGCCCGGGGCATTCATCACACAGAAGAGGCTCTTTGAGCAAACGAGCACCTGGGCACCTGTGCTGAGAGTGGGGTGAGAAACACGTGTGGCCCGAGAGGCAGACTGCAGGGCCCCCCACGGCAGGGCCATGTCCTGTGACCTGGAAGTGTACAGGCCTGTCATCTGCAACTCCGACCCCGTCTTACCTGTTTGCTATTATTTTGTGAAACGTAAGCTTCAGAAGTCTGGATCACTTTGGGCCCTAAAGTATAACAGAGAAGGAAAAAAGTAGGTTATAGTCTACGTGGATAATTCATTTACTGGCGTTTTCCAAATGCCAACAAGGGCGTATATTACACAGAGGTGATCTTTTCCTGGGCTGTCTTAGAGGTGTCCCATCTTTGTATGACGGTGAACCACAGGAACATGGACACGCAGGGCCCGCTCTGTGGCACCCCGGGACTCCCCCAACGCAGGTGAGCCCAGTGTGAGTGCCACACAGCGGGCACAGCGTTCAGTCCGTCTGTGCAGGAGCCGCTCCTCCACTCTGGGTGGGCGCATGGTCCCGGGAGCATCTCTGTGGTTTACAAACCGTGGAGACTTCTGCCGAAAACTGAGACACATCTATCCATTCATCCAATGAATCCAGTCTTCCAAAAATGTTTATTAAGTAGAGAATATTAAAAGAACATTATTGCTAAGGCTTTACACCTAAAGGACATTATATTGAAGGCTTTTCCTGAAAGAACAGACACAGAAGCTCCAAAGAATCTCACACCGCAGTTTTTTAGAGCTTCGACCTTAAAAGAAGTGACTGAAGGGAACTCTGCGGATCTGGTTCCAATTTCATTCTGAACTGTATTTGTTCTGAAACAAATCACCCAGCGTGCAGCCAGGTTCCAGAGCTGCGTCTGTGATGGTCCCCAGCTGGCCCCTAGTCCCGTGTCTCTGAAGAACCCAAACGAACGCAGGGACGGAGGAGCAGGGATGCGTCTCCTCCATCTTGGTCCTGGGGTTTCTGGGACTGGCTCTCGGCCCTGCTTTGATTTGAAGATGCAAATGAGCCTGCGTCCAGTAGTGACGAGAGCACAGACAGTCCAGGAAAACAGGCAGAAAGCCTCTGGCGGCTCCTCCCCATCAGCCACTTCTAAGCAGTTGGCCCCTAAGGAGCCTAGGGGCTCTGTCTGTGACACTTTAGAATGTTTTTGATAAACTGACAAGTGCAATGAGGTTGGCTGAACCCTGCACGACCTCCTACAAAGGTGGTGATGGCCTCCCGAGGCAGATGCCTCAAGGGACAACACGGACTCCTCAGGACCAACCCTCTTTGCTTCTAGAACTCTAACTGGACTCACGCCCCGCAGGCCCTTAGAGGTGAAGTACAAAGGGTGACCCAAGAGGAGGTGTGCTATACCCCCAAACTACTTGAGTTCTCTGATCTACACAGAAATCAGAGAAGGGGAAGGGACGCAAAGTTGGATCGGGCTAAACAAAGGGATATGGGTCCCCTACTCAGTTCTTCACTGAAACCTGTAGCTCGAGGTGAGCAAGGGCCCCAACAGTTTGGTTGGCTGGTTGTCTAAAGCGTGGTCTGGAGGGTGGTCCCAGTAAGTGAGTTAGAAACGCCACACCTGCCTCCACTGGATGTCGAGGAAGGGCCTGTTGGGGGGAGCGGTCCTTCAAGACCTAGTGCGAGTGTCCAGAACCTGCCCCGCTCACCACCACGGTGAAAACTGGTGGGGGGCCCAACACCCTCCCGCTCTCCGGCAGCCCTTCTCGGTCGGCCGGCCTCCCTCACCGGAGGCGCCTCGGCCACTGAACTGGGAAAACACTACACAACAGCGTCACTGGGAAGACTGGCCGTGGCACCACTGTGACCCCAGTGACCCCCCCAGCAAAATGTTTGCTTCTTGTCCCCTAGAGGTCTGGCTTCCACCAGGAGACACGACAGTGACGCCACTGAACTGGAAGCTAAGACTGCCCCTGGCCACGGAGGGCTCTCCCGCCTCTGAATCAACAGGCAGAGGAGGGGGTCCCTGAGATGGCTGGGGCCCGAGGCCGACCGCCCAGGGGACTGGACGGCTGGTTTGCAGCGGCAGCGTGCCTGGGAGGCAGGAAGCGGCTCAGGGTGTCTCCTAGTGCTGTCCTGCCTGTGACTACGGTCAATGGCAAACTCCGGCCCAATCCAAGGGCGACGAAAGGCCCAGGCCCTTCAGGAACAGAGTCTGGGCCGCCTCACCTGGTAAAGAACCACGACCACCTGAGACACCTGCTGAAGGCAAAGGGACTTGGGAAGGGCGGGGGACTGGGGGGTTAGAATCCCAGCTGGGACCGTGGAACTTGCGACAGAATCAAGGACTGTAACTGTCACACTCCTCGTTCTGTCCTGGATACGTCTGCGTGTGCATGCAGGCAGGTAGATTAAGCAAATACCTGTTCTCATCCCTCTCTCATTCCCTTATCGAGAGACACAAGCTGTATTGATACCGGCGACCTGATAACACAGCACGTAAGCACTGCTGACTCCGCGCCACAGTGCTGAGGCGACAGGAGGCAAAGGAGAGCAGACGTCACCCCAGAACCCCACCTCCCCTCTGGGGCAGGACCGTGTGTTCGGGCTGTGCGCAGGACAGCTGCGGGATGTCCTAGTTACTGGGGATCAATCATGGTTTAAGGGGGTGCCTGTGGAGGCCGAGCTGATGGGGGGTAGGCTAGCAACAGGGAATTTTCTGTGTCAGCTCAACTGGGCCACGGGGTGCCTGGCCAAGGGGTGAGACGTCTCTACGTGTGGGGGGGCGGTTTTGGGGTGAGGTGAGCACCGACGGGTAGATGAGTCACACGGACCACCACCCCCCAAGAGGGGCGGGACCCCATCCAACTAACTCCAGGCCTGAACAGGACAAAAGAGGCTGAGGAAGGGAGACTTTGCTCTCTCTGCCCGCTGTCTTGGGGCTGGGACATCGCTCTGCTCTGGTCTTTGGGCTGGGACTCAGCCCGAACGCAGAGCACCAGCCACCCTGCTCTCCTCGGGCCGCAACCACACTGTCCCCCGTCCTCATGGTGAACCCGGGCCCGCACACACCCTCCTGGTGCTGTTCCAGCCCCCGGTCTGTCTCCCTGGGGACCCCTGATACCAGCACTCCACGGAAAGAAGGGAAGGAGTGAGAAAATCCTGCCATTGTTTTTCTTCTCTCAGCCTTGACGCCTCAGTCTGCGGGCGTGGAGAAGGTCAGATGTGACCCTGGATGTGTGAAGCAGCCAGTGCTCGCGGAGTCAAGAGTTGGCTGAGGCCCGTGAGACCGGAGACCTGGAGAACGTTAATGCCCCCACCGACCTGGAGGGGCAACTGTGAGAATCAAGGAAGATAATGGATGTGTCCCGTGCTGTGATTCAGGCAACTGCAATCCCTCGATGACTCACGAGAAGGAAAATGAGAGGGACCACGGCCGCCACTGTCCCTCACCATCTGCAGCAGCAGCAGCAGCAAACAGCCCCTCGAGGACTGGGCGGTCGGCGGCTTCCACACCCATTCAGCGATGCAGGTCTCAGCGGAGGGTGAGGACCTAGTCTTCGGAGGCACACTCCACACAATGTCGGCTCCCGGCGCGCCTTTGAAATGGTCCCGTCTGACCCCTTTCTCAGAGATGGGAAACTGAGGCCCGGGGCAGTCGGTGGGTTTCACAAGGTTCCCAGAAAGCCGGGTCCCTTCCCTTCAAACTGCACGCTGGGGACCGCAGGGCACCCGGGGCCCCGAGGACAGGGCTCCCTCCTGCCAAGAAGTCGGGCGTCGGCAGAGCAGCCTCGTCCTGCCCTGTGGCCACCCCAGCCCCAAGCTCCCGGCATCGCACGCCCTCCCCGCCACTCGGGCTGGACTGTCTCCATGGCCCCGTCTCCCACGTCAGCCAGCGTGCTCTGGGTTCGCCGGTGCCCGGGGGGGCCTGGCACACAGCCATCTCTCCAGAAATGTTTGTCCAGCACAAGGTACATGGTCAAGGCCACCCAGGGCTGCCGCACTGAACTCAGCCCTGGCTGCTGTGTGGGGCAGGACCAGGGTCACCCCTCCACTGAGCGGGTGCAGAGAGAAATGGCTGCACCCTCCGTGACGGGCCCTCAGCGGGTGAGGGCAAGCGGGTGCAGTGAAGGAGCACGGCCCCGGGCTGACTGTGGGGGACAGAAGGGTCCCAACCTGTGCCTTACCTTTGATCCCGACTAAGACGGTCAGGCCGAAGCAGACGAAGAAGACGACGAACACGAGGACAAAGTGGCGCTTGGAGAGCGTGTAGAGCCGCATGGGGGCCAGCCTGTGGGGCGGGGGCAGCGGGTGAGCGGCGGCAGGGGGCCCCCACCTGCAAGCCCTCACCACAGGTCGGACCGCCTCTAAAACCAGGCCACCCACCCGGAAAACAGTCTGGATGGCCTCAGTGGCCACTACGGGGGTGCGGCGTCCCAGTTACCGGGGGTTGGGCACCCTGCGAAGAGGCCCTGCCGCCCTGGCCGGCACAGTGCCAGCGGCACCCCCCGCCCCCCCCGCCCCATGGCAGACCATGCCCTGCTGAGGCTCCCGCACCCCCTGAGGGCGCAGTCCCCCCCCCCAGCAGCAGTGGCCAACCCCCCGACACGCACGGCTGTAACTGCCGGTCACCATGGAGCCCGGCCCGGGTCTGCAGGGCCACCACCGTCACGCTTCCCCTCCAGTCTTCCCGCTGGCCCACAGTCTTGCTCCCTGTCCAGCGTCCCTCACAATCTGAGGGCCCTCGCTCCCGTCACCCATCACGGTGCACCTCAGCCTGACCGTCCCTGTGGGGTTCATTTTGTTTCTTTTAATCCTCACCCAGAGACATTTGTCATTGCTTTTATGGAGAAAGAAACATCAATGCAAGAGAGAAGCATTGATTGTTTGCCTCCCCTCTGTGCCCCAGCCGGGGATGTCTGCACCCAGACCAGGGGTGAAACCTGCCACCAAGGCATGTGCCCTGACCGGGCATCGAACCTGCAACCTTTTGGTCATAGGACAACGCCCCAGCCAACTGAGGCACACCAGCCAGGGCTGTGGGGTTTGGGTTTGATGCACCAAGCAAGCTGCCTGCAGTTTTCTGGGACTTGACACCAATATGGAGCCCTGTCCTCACGAGGACCCCTCTCTGGTCCCCTCCAGGTCTCCCCACTGTGTCCCTTGTTCAGGAGAACACTGTGGTGTAGCAGGTGCCATTTCTTTTAAAACTCCCTCCATCAGAGGCAGGGAAACAAAGGGAAAATCTGTAAAGGACCAGAAGACACACGTCTGAGTGTTGGGGGGCCCCGCGGTCTCCACCTCAAGCCCCCCACACAGCCACAGGTGTGACACAAACCCCCCCCCCACAGGGGCGGCTGACCTCTCCCCTGGAACCTTTCTGGCCTTGGCAGCCGAGACAGTAGGAAGTTTCTCCAGCCTCACAGACAGACAACACCCCTCCGCCCCACGCGCCACTGGGTGCCACCGGGAGGGGGAGGGACAGGCTTCGAACCAACCACAGAGCACCAGGTTATTTGCTTTTGTGGCCTGAGGCTCACACGGCTGTGTACACACACACCCTCTCCCTCACAGGGCCGGGGACTTCCGTTCTGCAGCAGGGAACCCACGGGACCGTATCTCAGGGCAAAGGTGGGGCCCATAAGCTGATGTCCCTTGTCCCTCTGACGTGGCTTTGCTGATACAAGGTCAGCTCTCCCCAGCAGGACCTGCCAGGGCACGTGACCATGCTGACCAGGGTCACAGTGAAGAAATAAAGGAACGAGTGTCTCGGTCCTCTCCTTTGGGACTGGGGCCCAAAGGCTGGGCCACGTGTGACTCTGCTGCGCCTGAGACACGCCACCTAGTGGGTTAAGTGGCCTGAGTCCAGCAAGATTCTAGACCCCGAGATGTTGAAGCCCAACAGGCCCAAACGTCAGATCCAGAAGTCACCTCAGGGGAAGCCCAACCCCTCCCATTTGCACACGGGGAAACAAGAGGTCTAGAGACACAGGACACTCACCCAAGATGTCACGGCTCCTGCCCCTTGGCAGGAACGGCCACACCCTGGGAAGGGGGCTCCGGGAAGGAGGACGGAGCTGAGGGGACCCGGCTGCACGAACGCCCTCTGGGAGAGCCGTGCGGATGCAGGGCTGGTGGACAAGGTCTCCTCCGTCGCTGCCTGCGACTCCCCGGCGTCTGGGCCGCCGGTGCTTCCTTCACGGCACGGTAACCGCCTGCCTAACGCTGCGGCGGGGAAGGTTCCCACAGAGTGGCACGGGCCGTCTCGCACGAAGCTGAGCGGACCGAACGCCAGGGAAAGGCAAAGCGGTGGCGGCTGGCGGTGCGATGGTCTCCAAGTTCCGAGGGACGTGCTGCTCGGCTCGGAGACGCAAACACGAGGCTCGTGGGCAGAGGGTGGCAGACGCACCCTGTGCTGTCCAGGCCACTCTTCTGTAGACCCAGAGTCCCTTAAAAAACGACACACGGTCACGCACGGCGCCCCATCTGAGCCCCTCAGGGCACCCAGCCCCTTGTGAGGCCGAGGCGCTACGGACTGAGGACTCCCAGCAGAGGTGAAAGCAGGAAGACCACTTGGGCCCAGAGAAAAACACAAGAAGAACACTGCTATTTAAGGGTGTTTTTTTTTTTAAAGATTTTACTGATTTACTTATTTTTAGAGAGAGGGGAAGGGAGGGAGAAAAAGAGGGAGAGAAACATCAATGTGTGGCTGCCTCTCACATGCCCCCTACTGGGGACCTGGCCCACAACCCAGGCCTGTGCCCTGACTGGGGATTGAACCAGCGACCTTTCAGTTCCAGGGCCGGCGCTCACACCAGCCAGGGCAGAAGAATGCTATTTAAATTTCTGATTTTTAAAACACATTATGAACGACTGACTATAAAAGCACAGTTGTTTAGCAGGTGAAAAGGAATGCTGAGACTTAAGGATTGTGTCCCTTTCCTTAAAATTTCCTCTTAAATTGATTTTACTAGAAAATTTCCCAGTTCAGGAAACTAGAAAATATTGGAAAATTAAGCATCACCCAGCTCAGAGGAAGGCACAGAAAAAAAAAGGCCCTGCTTGAGAAAATGTCAGCGGCCCAGCTACCGCCACACACCAGGCTGCGGGGACCAGGCTGCGGGGACCAGGCTGCGGGGACCAGGCTGCGGGGACAGGGCGGGCACCATGTCTCCTTCCTGACGAGCAAACCCCTCCAGGTTCCCTCACTCTGAGAGGTCTGGGTGCAGAGACCCTCTCTCGCCACCAGGTGCCATGGTCGGGGACAGCAGCACAGCACAACTCCACGCGACCTCCCTGGCCACCGTTCTTTCCACTCTCGACTTTTCGTCTCAAAGCTTTGAAGCAGTTCACCAAAAAACTAGAGACTCCGGCACCTCAGGGCCACCATCCCATTTCAGACGAGCAACAGGCCTGCACTGCTGTATGAAGTGACAAAACGCTGAGACGGCCATATAAAGACGGGGGACCAGCCGCGGCGGCGGCAGCGGCAGCAGCAGCAGCAGCAGCAGCAGCAGCAGCAGCGAGGAGTCAAGGCCACGGTGAGACCCGCTCAAGACTCAGAACACGTGTCCCCGCCTATTCCCCTCCTCATCTCACACCCCCAGCTGCCTCGCAACACACCTCCTGCCCCGAACCCGGCACCTTCTCTGCCCACACCCTGGTTCACCTCCCTGCCGAAACGCCAGTGAGTTTCCAACGAGCAAGCGAACCTACGCCACCAGCAGCCTGGCACATCCCGGTAAGCAGACAGCTTTGGCGCTCGGTGATCAGGCCACGGACGAGAGCAGTATTTCAGTAAACACTCACAGGCAAGACGTGAGGAGAAAGTGCCCAGAGCCAACCACCTGGAGGCCTCCTCGTCACCAGATCCCAGCTCCAGACCCAGGACACAGGGCTGTGTGCGCTCTGACCCTGCGGACCCGCTTCCCCTTTAACAATCCTCCCACCTCCAGGAACCGCCCCCGACCCTCTAAACCGGTGCTTCGTCTTTCGGAGGTACCACTAGCAACCCCACTCCTCACTTCTAGGCGAGAGAGCCCAGGCTTGGAAAGGCGAGATCACAAAGCTGCCAAGCAGCAGAGGCAACAGGCAGGCCAAGCGTCAGGCTCCGGGGCTTACAACCTGTGGTGCTTCCCTGCACAGCCAAGCCAGACACACCCACTGATGGAACAGCCCACTCACACCCCTGATGGAACGGCTTCTTCTGCCCCCCGCCCCAAACCATCCAAACCTGACCCAGCATCCATGGCTCACCTGTATGTCCCACCTGCCACGAAGCTTTCCCTCCCTTCTCTACCTCTCATGAAGGCCCATGGGTCTTTCTTAAAAACTTTATTTATTTTCAGCAGAGAGGACAGAAACATGGATGTGAGAGAGAAACATCGAGCAGTTGCCTCTTGCTCATACCCCAACTGGGGACCCAGCCCACAACCCAGGCATGTGCCCCGACTGGGAATCAAACCTGCGACCTTTTGCTTTGAGGGATAAGGCTCATCGAACTGAGCCGTCTGGTTCAAACCATTATCACACACGCGGTCTGCACAACACAGCTGAGTGCATGAGGATTAGAGTGTTGTTGGGAACCGCCCTGCCTGGTTTCAGGAGCTGTAACCCTCCCCATGGCCAAGGCTGAGTGAGCAATCTCCGGATCTAAGCCACTAAGGAGACAAAGCTTATCTCCCTGGCAGGAGTGCAGCTTCTGCTCCTTTTTCCATAACTGGCTTCCAATGCTTGATCAGTTAGCCAATAATGGGTAAGAATCCCCAGGGCAGGGAACAACCTAAGACAGGCATGGTCATGTGGAGGCCCCAGGGAAGGACTTGGGGGGCTATGGAGAAAGGGGGTGATGGACCCTCCCCCCTCGGCTTTGACAAAGCCTGAGTCCTCAGTCTGTGAGAAATCCCCGAGAATTCCTCACTATCTGGCTCCTCTGCCTGACTTAAGCCTGAAACAATGACAGAGGGTGGTGCAGCCCTGTGCTCGAAAGGGCCGGCTCCCCGGGTGATCTGACATGAGAAAGAATTCCTAAAAGTCCTGTGAAGCCTGTTTTGCTAAGAATGCTCTTAGTTAAATGATAAAGGCCCAGGCAGAAAATGAGTTTGTTTTCCCCAAATTTTGTAGCCTTTTAGCTGATAGACCCTGACTTAGAAGAAGCCCTAATAGTTCTCTGTATGCTACCTACTGTTTACTGCCTGACAATGATTAACGAGCTGTACCTGTATTCCTACACACACACAAAAAAACAATAAAAGCCTCTCTAGGCAAGGGTCAGCGCGCTCGCCCCTTGAG